CTGGTGATGCTTCTCAGGGAAGAGACCAGGCCTTGCTGGGCTGGGGGTGAAAGGCAAGGGCCCAGGTGACAAAAAACAAGGGCAGCAAGAGCAGGGGTGACAAGAGCATAATTGTCAGGACGAGGTGAAGAAATGACATATTGATCAATGGATAAAGATAGTACCAGCTTTCCGGGGGGACTGACTACCCAAACATAGGTATGTGCGGGGGTCTGTTAGCTCGAATCCTTACCTTGCTCCAGACTCTATTTGTTCATCCTGTTGTGAAACAGATACATGAGAGGAGGCAGTTAATTAAAGTTGAGCGAGTTACCCAAAGTTATTTATGGGCTTTTCCTATACCCACTAGGGGACTCCCTCATAAAACAGATAGAGACCAGAGGCAGGCAATTAACCAAAGTTGTTTTATGGGCTTCTTCTTTGGGTGGGGACTGTGGGCCCCCTCCTCTTCTCCCTTCTAGGCCTCGGGATGAATACACAGTTTCAAGGCTTTCTTTCCCAGAGAGTGGAAATGATACATAGAATTTCAAGGACTTCCCTCCCCCCGTGTTAGCATGGTGTTCCTTCTGATGCTGGAACACCTGGAGATATTATCGGGCCAGGCTCAGGACTACTGAGGCAGTGGGTTATATGTGTCTCCCTCCTCCTCCCTGCCTCAGTTTACTACCTATCCCACCTAGCACAGGTAGGGTGTTTTTCACAACAGACCGTGTCCATAATGGGCAGGAGAACGTGGCCCCTGAGAGAGTCCCTGTTGTGCCTTAGCCAGGTGGCCTTTATCAGCTCCTGTCCTCTGGGAAGGGGGTCTAATGCTGTGGGATTTTCCACATTTTCAAGAGAATTCCCAAATCTGGGTTTTTATGAGAATTCTGCTCCGTACACTCCATCCTTTCCTTCATTCAGTGTTTATTGAGGGACTACTATGTCTTGCGCTAAGCCTGAGGACAAAGCAGAGAACAAAACAGACAAAAGCCCCTACCTTCGGGGCACTTCCAGTGTAATGGGAGAGGGAAATAGTTCTAAAACTGTGCAAATTATTAAATACATAAGATGGCAGTAAGTGCTATGAAGAAAAATAATGCAAGGGAGGCAGCCGAGGATGGCTGGAGATGTGCTACAGCTGTGAATAAGGTGGTCAGAGAAGACTTAGCTGAGAAGGTGACATTGGAGAGCTCAGGTGTCACATAATTGCTTCACCCATTCCATACAGTCGGTGGTATTTATTGAGCACTTACTGTGTTCGAGGCACGGCTCTAAGTACTGGAGACAGACTGATGAATGAGACGGACTAGGTCCTTTCCTCCATGGAGATTATATTCATAGGCAGTAAGCAGGAAGCCAAATAGGATAAGGTCAGAAGGTGACTCCTTGCAACAAAGGCAATAACAAAGGTAATGTGTCAGGGAGGAGGGAGAGAAGTGGGCAGGCTGGACAGAGGAGCTGGAGAAGGCCACCTGAAGTGACACTGGGTGGGTTGGAGGAAGCCTGCTATGCAAAGGTCCAGGGGGAAAGCCTGCATTCAAGGCCAAAGGAATAGCAAGTGCAAAAGCCATTGGGTGGGAACAAGGCAGGCCACGGTATTGAGCATCAAGGGATGATGAACTGGTTCCTAAGACAGAGCAATGCATATATATGTATTAGGGAAACCCAAGGCCAAGGTCAAGCCCAGGCAAAATCATGAAATAGAAAATGTTTCTAGTGGCTTCTTCGCCTTTTTCTCTAGATGCCATTTCCTCCTGCACAGGTGCTTCTCTAGCCTCATTTAATCCCGAGCTCTTTCTGTTTCAAACTTACTCTCAGAAAAGGATGTGAGAGGTCATATGTACTAAAAAACAAAATCAAAAACAAAAAACCCTATAAGGCTAAAAAGCTATTATTCTTCCTAGGGGCATTTACATTTAAATCACAACGATTGAAGTATGAAGTGTAATGCAGCAGCTGTTGGGGTGTTGGGAGTATTTTATTGCTGGGGGAGTATATTAATTTCCTATGGCTGCTGTAACAAATTACTGCAAACTTAGTGGCTTAAAACAGTACACATTTATTATCTTAGAGTTCTGGAGATCCGAAGTCCAAAGTGAGTTGGCAGGGCGGTGATCCTTTTGGAGGCTCTGGGGGCGAATCTCTTCCCTTCACCAGCTCCAAGGAGCTGCCCACATTCCTTGCCTGTGGCCCTAAGTCCCTCTGACCTCTGCATCATTGTCACATGTCCATCTTCGGTTCTGGCCCTCCAGCCCCCCTTTCAGAAGGACCCTGTGATTCCATTGAGCTCAGTCAGAGACCCCAGGATAATCTCCCCATCTGGAGAACCGTGACTGAATCACATCGGAAAAGTTCCTTTTGCCGTGTGAGGTAACATAGACTCGGGTTCCAGGAATTGAGGCATGGACAATTGGGGGTCGTTATTCTACATAACATACAAAGTGACATCCTGGAGTCTGTGAAATTAAATCACCAGAAAGCTCCATACTTTCAGGTTGTTTCTGCTCACTATATTGGGATTTGGTTTTTTGTTTTTGTCTTTTTTTTTTCTTGGAATTTCAGGAATGAAACAGTTCTGTAGTCTTTTTGAAGGGCACCTTGCCCAAGCCATTTGGGTAATTTTCCTTAGTCCAAGTTAGCAAAGTCAGATAAGATTGTATCTCACGGCCCTGGTATTTTTGAACACATTGTTTACCCACAAAGTTCATTTGCATGGAAGCTCCTGGGAAAAGACTTTTAATCCTCTGCAGTTTCTGACCCCTCTGGAATTTGAAAAGCAAAGGTCTAATGAAGCAGAAATAGCAGGGACCTGAGCCAAGGAGCTGAAAGGGTGGTCACTGCTGTTTGCCCAGGAGGTGCGGTGACAGTGAGGGCTGTGCGTGGAGCCCTGCAGTGGCTGCTGGTGCCTCCCGGTGCGGGAGGGAGCCGTCCTGTTCTTGAGCTCTCCAGCAGAGCCCTGGGTCCACCTGTGGCTTCTCTGAACTGCTTTGTGTCCAGCCTCTCAAAGACAGGTCACCTTGGAGGAAATGAGGCAGATCAGTACTTCAATTAGCACCCTGTTGTAGTGCATAAGCCAAACTGTCACCATAGCCTACTCTGAAGGGTTCATCGTTTGGAATCTTCTAGTATGTAGCTCTGACCCATTACCATTTCCTCCTCCAAATTCTGCCTTTCTCAGCTACTCACTAAGTTAGAGTCTTTTCTGTTCTTTTTTTTTTATTCTACTTACTGGGTCAGAATCTTTTCCTGGTCAAATTTTCAAAGGTCTCTGTCTTATTGATTCAGCGGGTGTCCATCTCCATCACCTCCCGTCTACTTCCATAGTTTTTGATGTGTCCACACTCTATTCAAGATTTGTTGATGAAAGAGATGAATGTAGCGTGCATTCACCTGCTCAACTGTTATAATAAGGCAAAATAATTATTTATAGGGACTTTAAAATAATGTTGACTTTTACTTTTGTTGTTACTTACACTGTATTAAATCAAAGGTAGACTTTGGGAGAATATGGCTTCTATCCTTAAAATTATTAAAAATTATTTTTGGAGGACATTTATGTCATTGACTTTAAATGGACATTGCCTGAATTGTGATAGGTGGCAGAAAAGCCCTGTGGGAGCCTGATTCGGGGAATGAAAAGGATGGCTCTGGCATCAGAGAACTCGGGGGGCTTCCGTTTGGCTCCGTCACTGCCACCTGTGTGATCTGGGGAGCAAGTCGGGCAGCCCTGCCAAGCCCGTTTCCTCTCCATTAAAGCAGAGTAGTGATAGTGGTATTCCTTCATCAGGATGTGAGGTATAACAATCTACTGCAAGTCAAAGGCTTTTTGCCCAGTAGGCACGTAATCAATGTATGTTGAATAAAGGTCTCCTGGTCAGAGTTCTATTACCTTTAGCTCCGATGACGAGGGTCTGTAATCCACAGGGTTGAAAGCACCTAGTTGTGGACTCTTCTAGTTGGATAACCTAAGACCAATACATCTACACAGGGCAGCGTGGGCCACATTTGTTTCGACTCAGACAGAGTTGAGTTCCTGCTGTGCATCAGACTAGCCAGCTGCTGAGATGTGGAGTAGGCACGTTATAAAAATTCCTGAGTATACAAGTGTTGGTGTATTAAAAAAAAAACCAACATTGTTTAACACTGAAAAATCATTGCAAAAATCCTGAACTTGTCTCTGCTTGCTGGCAGTAACAATGGTCAGGGGTTTGCTGAGCCAGTGCAACAAACTGTGGAAGAAATTGTTCCCAAACATCTCACTAGAACTGAAATTAAGATAGGCTGGCTTTTTGCCTCAAAAAGTGACTTTGGAGGCGTTTGTCTGATTAGAGTAGCAGAAAGCAGTAACCACGAGGCTGCATGCAAGGTTCTTTATCTCCTAGGCTCCCTGTGGGCCTCCCCCGCTTGTCAGCACCAGCTTGTTTAAAATTTCAGCTCCCCGAATCTCTCTGTATTTTAAGAATTTGAATCTTTGTTTGAAGTAGCTCCTGAAGTTTCTGTTCCACACGAGTCAGCTACTACCTGGAAGGGGTAAAAGATCACCAGACCTTTGCTCTGCTGCCTCCCAGCTTCCCGCTCAACTGGGGTGAAAGCTCTGACTTAGGAACGTGCATGGTGGTGGTGCCCAGAGGTACGGGTGTGGGGTTGGCTCTGCGGAAGCCCTTTAGGGCCTCAAACTCTTGCACTCTTTGAAGTCAGCTACGGCTCCTTCTCAAGTCATTCCTATCATCGCCTGCTCTTGGGCCTGCTAAGGTCACATTTTGGGGAAAGTGGGTTGTCCAACAACAGCAATGCAAACTCAAGCGCCTATTTTAATTCATCCAGAGAGTGACGATGGGAGACGGAGGACTTGGGCAGGGGGCGGTTGGTTACTCTAGTACCCTTGGCCTCTACCTCGTGGTCCGGCCCCGGGAGTGTAGGGGGCGGGGCAGGAGGCCAACCCGGAGCCCCGCCCCCTGCACTCCGGCATCGCGCCAGCGAGCGGAAGTGACGTGACCCAAAGCCATTTCCGGCGGGGCGAAACTAGGAAGAAACTTGAAGCTGTTGTGGCTTCCCTGCAACCTGTGTTCGCTGCTCCTGTACCCCGTGGCCCGGGACGCGCCGAGCCGTCGGGAGCCCTGGCCATGGGGCTGTCCGGCCCGTCGGCAGCGTGAGGCGCGGGGCCTCCCGTGGGCTCCCCTGACAGGCGGCGGCGGGCGGGCGGGCGGGAGGCGTCGTTCCAGCCGCGGTCGTGGGCGCCGCCGCCGGCCCGGGCTGCGGGCATCATGAACATAGACGTGGAGTTCCACATCCGGCACAACTACCCCTGGAGCAAGTTGCCGGCCAACGTGAAGCAGGTAAGGCCGCAACCTGGAGCCGGGGCCCCGTCCCCGCCTCCCGCCGTCACCTGCTGGCTGCGCCCGCGGGGCCGGGGCTGGTTCCTCTCCGCTGTCTCCCTCCCTCCCCCTAGCTGGGGTCTCGGGAAACCCGACCCTCAGCCCAGGGATATGGAGGGGACTGCTCTGGGGCCTCCGAGGCAGGATGGAGCCGTGGCTAAAAAGGATGGGATGTTACCATACACTGGACTCCCTGGCGCCTTTGCCCGAAGCCTCCATTCAGCCCTGCACTGGGCTAGGCGCCTGCGAAACGGAGATGTAGCACACTGACCTCCAGAACTCCGGGATGGTGGAGAGGGACGAGAAGCAAAAGAGTATGTTACAGGTGACAGCAGCTCTTGCGTCCCTGGGTTGTCGTGTGTGTGGGCGCACAGAGGAGGAAGTAAGGCACTGTCCAGGGAGTGTCGCGAGGATGTGTACAGGAGGCCTTTACACTGGGTCTTAAGGACGAATGAGAGATAAGAGGGGATAACGATTTTCCAGGGAGAAGGAAAGGCCTTTGAAAAGGCTCGGACGAGTGGAAGCGCATTTCTAGAGGAGTTGGGAGGTGTAGACGCAGCGACCTGTTTGGGGCTGGGGCTTCGTGAGTGCGTGGGGGTCGGCAGCAGGGGAGGCTGAAAAAGCAGAGCCAGATTTTGAAGGGGCTTTGCACTTGGCGATGGACGTTGTCCTCATGACAAGATAGGTTTGTCAGACGTTTCAACAGAAGTGATTTGCGGTTGTTGAGAGGTAACTCTCAAATGCTTGAGTTTAATTTTACTCAGTCATTTAACACAGTTATTGAACACCTGCTGGGTGCAGTGTCTTGTACAAGACAGACCCTTTCTTCATGGAGCCTGCATTTTAGTGAAGAAAGATAGTGAGTAAACATGTACCATGGCAGGTGGTGTAAAAGCATATGAAGGTGGTGGTACTGGCTACATGGGGGGCACCGTTTGTTTCTCTGATCATAGACAGACCTTCAGGTTCCTCCCATTGTGCTTGGCTGAGAGTGAAATTCCGTTTTCCACTGGTGCTGGGCAGTTATATTTGGGAATTTGGGGTGGCGGTGGTGTAAGGATATTACTCTCATCTCCTCTCCCAACTTGGGGACTGAGTTGTAGGAAATGAAAAATTTAAGGTTTGGCAGTGCATCGTGTAGCAGAGAAAATGTCTTCGCTTTAGGATTTCAAGAAAACAGGACAGTAGGAAGATAAATGTAAGAAACTCAGAATTCTTGGTTGTCAGTGGCTGCCCACGTGGCATTTTATCTTGACGTGGAAAAAGAAAAAGAGCCTCCACCTGAGGGAGTAAGTTTCTTTTGTTAAGTGTGAATGGAGGCTTTGGTGGACCCTTGGTTTGTGGCATATCTGAGCACAGCTGGGAGAACCACAGTCCTTTTCTTTGTTTCCATTTTTTTCCCTCTGCTCCTCCTTGCACAAAGCTAAATGTAGCATGATGGAAGAAAGCTGGATGATTCGATTACGTCTGACATGAATGACTGACCTTTATTACTAGTAGAAATATTTCTAAACCTTAGTCATGGCTATTAAAAGTAATCACAGAGCAGTTAAAATTAGGTACAAATGTGACATTAAATTTTAAAAAATTGGTAAGATCACTTAAAGAGACAGCATTGGATCTAGAGGAAACCCTTTAAAGGTTTCACAGAAAGCCTTAATATTTTGAATCCCCTAAATATCTTCAGTACTTCCCTAGCTTTGGTGCTCCATAGTGACTGGTAGAATAGTTTCTCTACAATGAATTTTAGCCCTAACTACTCGTAATGTTAAAATGGGTAAAAATAACAGAAGCACATACATTTCCACAGTAGTGTGAGTTGGTTTAACCTGCGATAAATAATCTGGTTGCAGGAAGAAAGATTTTTAGTTTTTTCACATCGTCTCTTTTTCCTTAAAACAGCAGCCACCAGTGGTTCCAGGCATTTGCCAGTTTATGTAGATGGGTGTTTCATCTGTTTTGCGGGAAGATTGCCTTGGGCAGAGGATGTGTATGGGCATTTACCTTGGCTTTCCAAAACCTATGAGTAAGAACTATAATAATTGAAACCTCTGATCTTTATGTCATTAGTCTCCTAAGATGTCTAATTTTATTTTATAGCACGTTTGAAAGATCAGACCTAGTAATTAGAAGGGGGTCTGCAGTCACATGTTAAATCAAGTTTATGGTAACACATTGGATGTAATGTTGACTGTAATCAGGCAGGCGTGTTCTTGGCTTTCACGAGAGCCCAGCTTGGAGCTTAAAACATTACGTGCACAGCTAGGAAGCGTTTTGATTATTAAAATATATTGGAATTCTAAAATGGTTTAAATGTTTTCTAAGAGAACATAAGATGATGTTTTAAAGAAGTAATCTTAAATTTAGAGATGTATGTTTGAAATGTGCATTCTCCAAAAATCTTCATCATATCCTTCAGCTATAAATAATTATCAGACAGGGCTCTGTCCTCAGTTGCCGTTTTTCAATTTAAATAAATGTAGGTGTGAGAAACCATCCATCCATTTAACCAATACTCATAAATTGGGGACAGTCAAGAGGAAAATCTTTATGAGTAGAACTTAGCACTGTGTTAACCTATGTGAAATTATGCTCTCAAACAGCTCTTTTATTTAATATTAAATACTTTAGATAATTTTATTAAGTCCTTTTAGAAGGTTAGACTGAAAATAAACATATTGAAATTTTGCTCTAAAACTATAGCAGAAAGTATAATATTTAAGAAAGTTTTCTTTATTCAGTTCTGGGAATTAGAGAATTCAGGGTAAAATTAGGGGTTGTGGTCTTGTAATTTTATGGAGGGGGGGTACTATAGTTTAGAAGCTAAATCTGTTTGAATCTATTTAAATCTATTTGAAATTTTTTTAGAGTCTTGGAAATGCGCAGAGAGAATACGAAAAGCAGGTTGTCCTGTACAGTATCCGCAATCAGCTGCGGTACAGAAATAACCTGGGTGAGTAGAGATGCGTTTGCATCGGGGTGGAATCGACTGTTGCTGAATTACCATCTTCATAACTCTCTCTTCAGGACATAAGTTGTAGTTCTGAAATTATTCCACGTACAGACTTTTAAGAAACTATACTGGCCTGTCCCACCTAACAATTTGCATTAGCAAATAGAGTTTTCTTTTGAGAGTATTGTCAATGGATTTGTTTTATGTATAGAATGTTGATCTTGATTCAAATGCCCTCTTTTTACTTTAGATAAGAAACTATGCCAGAAAAGAAGTACATTAGTTCTTAATAATTTTTGACTTTGAGTTTTGTTTCTGTCTCCACAGATTTTCCAAATAATATAACTTTAGCGAGAACTCTTTCTTTGATAATTGGAACAATTTTTAAACATAGTTAGGGTCATGTTTTAATGTTTGCTTTTTTTTTTTTTTCCCTCAGGCTACTTTGATTAGTCTATTCCCTTGTCCTTCTAGTCTTCCCTCCCATTTGCTACTTTTTTAAACGTAGTATTTCAGACATAGGCATTTTTTAAAAATTTATTCCATGGAAGTCAGATGTCTTTTTACATTTAAATCACAAAAACCAACAGATACTTTTTAAAAATAGACTTGATTTTATAGAAAACTGCCATTCAGTTTGGCTATCTTGCAAAGTGACATAGTAAGGGTTGAATGTTTTATACCTTTTTGAGATACATTTTATGCTCACTTTGCTTTTGATTTGGTAAGAATTATTTCTCTACTCATCTGTCCAAAGTACTTACATCTTTTGAAGTCTGTTTCTTATGGTATAATTGTTTTTTCCCATTTAGATTACTTTATTCATTCTCTTCCAATCTATATACTTCTAAATTAACTATTGGGTTGTAAAGTGTTTCTGATTGCATTTATAACTACATGCAAGGATAAGACACCTAAAAAAAAACTGGTGAATTTCTTTCTTTTCCCCAGTTAAACACATCAAGAGAGATGAGCGCAAATACTATGAGGAGCTACTAAAGTATAGTCGAGACCATCTCATGCTGTACCCTTACCATTTATCGGATATTATGGTCAAGGGCCTGAGGATAACACCATTTTCCTATTACATTGGGATTATGGAGGTGAGTTTGCCGCAGACCTGAACCAGGAGGAATGGGATGGGACTACATGTCAGGGACGCTTTGCAGATGATGGTCAGCTCTGCCGCTCTCAGCTTCACTGTTTCTGAGTTTACAGTGTAAAAGGGCCTGGTGGTTACAAGCTAACGGTTCTAGCCACACTTGTACAAATAGTTGTCATTGTCAACATTTTCACAGTGGAAACATATCTTTTTAATCCGTGTTCTTGAAAGCCTTGTTTACCTCGTGCTGTTTTCACATTAATCAGTCATTTATGTTAGCAGAGTTTGTGTAACATTTATTGCTTTTAATGCGTGATTGAGGTTAAAATTGTGGGTTACAGAACTGAACGTTAAGCTCAGAGAAACTTAATGTACTTAGCTGTTTACTAACTGTAGCGACAATAAATGATGGCATAGACCAAGCATTCAGTGTCAGAAAAAGAGAGCTGCTTTGGAAGCCCTGGCTGCTAATCTTTCTGTAATTATTAACTTCCAGGTGTTTTGCCAAAGGCAGTTTTTTGTCCTTTGTTGAATACGAGTAAATACCAGTTACATACTTTTCAAAGCTGAGATCTATGTAGAGATTGGCAGTATTTATCTAATGTTTATTTGCTGCTTAAATTATATTTGAGTCTACCATTTGGTGCTCACCGGCCACTTTAAGAACAGGGAGAGCCCAGAACTGAAGGAGGCGGGGCCCTGTACTAGCAGTGCTGTTGGCTCCCTGTGTGGTGTGGCTCCCTCCATGAGAGTTCCCTGTGCTTATCTCCTCAAGCCCCTTACTCACAGGCACTCCTGCAGTCCTCTGTCTCCCGTGCCCCTCTTTTGGAGGAAATGCAAAGTAAGTGTGAGATGTGACAGAAAGCTCCTAGGCTCCTGTCCGTCTCTTTCCTGAGACGCAGAGTAGCATGGTGCAGGTGGCTGCTGATCAGTGAGTAGAAGAGTTGTTGCTGTCTCTTTGACTGTTTTTCTGGTGGTGTCCGCAGGTTTGGGGGAGATAATAGAGGGAGGTTGTGTCCCATTTGCCAGCTTTCAGCTATGTCCACATGCTGTCTGGTTTCTGTTCTTACACCATTGGGTATAGCTTTGGGGTTGAAAATGGGTCATATCTCCCCAGTAAACAGTTGGTTTACTATTGGAAAAAAAAAAACAGATGGGAGTTGGAAGAAGCTGGATACTGAATTTAACTCTGTAGCTGATGGGGACTCGTAGGAGCAAAGATGACTAAGTGGTCAGACACTTTGTTGGCAGTGCCTGTCTTAGGTGTGTGCTGATGGAGCTGCGACCCATTGTTGGGCCTTTCCCCGGGGCGAGAGTCTAGGGTCAGGTGTGACGCATGGAGAGGCTGGGATCCTGAGCTCTCACGGAGATATTCCTTACATAGTTTCCACAGGGCAGCAGTTGCAGGTCAGCGGTCTGCGATTCATAGACAGTGCTAGGAGCAACCGCGCCCTCAACGTCCGATCTTCAGTTACAAGGTTGAGACCACATGTTAACTGCCACAATGTGGCTTGCGTGCTTTAGGTTACTAAACTGATCTCAGTGCTTCATGTAATAATTATTGTTCCTCTGTTTGGCTTAGAAATATATATATATTTACACATATTTTCTCTAAAGACACTTTGCACTTAAAAATTTGTATTTTTTTCTTTTAAAAAGGACATTATGAACAGTGAGAAAAGTTATGATTCACTGCCCAATTTTACTGCTGCTGACTGTAAGTATTCAGTTATGCCAAAGGAGGTGATGTTTGTGTGTCTTTGTGCATGCATGCTGTTGTGTCACTATTGTAATGTGTGTTTGTGCCTGAAACACGTGAAAGACGGGAATAGCAAGCGTCATTGTTGACGGAATTTTATAGGTGATGCAAATCAAGTGTAAGATCTAGTCTAAATGTCTTAAGAGGAATGTTTCAGAGTGTTAGAATCAGAAAAATGAAACTAGCCTATGTATTTCTAAAGCATGGAGTTTTTTCTGATACTTGGGCTATGTTGTGTAACAAGTGAGGGAAGAAGACTTGTGTACGATATTTTTACAGCATGATATACACTTGTGACTAACATAATTTGCTAGTGTTATGATTATTTTATGCTTATTTGAAATGTGACATAGTTCTGTTATATAAGAAGAAACTTGCTGAGAAGTACACTTTGGCTTCCTGAAATTGGAAGGACTTCTGCTTTTCAAAAATAAAGTGTCAGCCTGAGTTCATCTCTCTCTTTCATTATCTTGTATATTTTATTTGAAGAATTCTTTTTAATTTGATGTTGCCAACCAATAATCGAAAGATGAACAAAAGCCAAGAGTTTTTTTCCTAAAAGACCACAGGTGTGCTGCCATTTCAAGAGGTATTAGAAGTTTTTAAAGGAAAGTCTCTTTCTTTCAGGTCTAAGGCTTCTTGGCATAGGAAGGAACCAGTACATTGACCTAATGAATCAGTGCAGGTCGTCAAAAGTAAGTCAGTCCCTCCCTCTCTTTCTCGTGTGTCGTCCTCCTCAGCACAGGCTGACTTTTAGTGTTAGAGACAACTGTAATTTTTCTGGTCACGTAAAATATAGTTAATACAGAAACCGTACAGAAAATCCTCAGTATTCTCTAGGCTATGGTTTAGGTGATTATTTAATTAAAACAGTTGAAGGCATAAAACATGTAGCTTCTTTTTAAAAATTGATTTTGTTCTGCTGGTCTTTTTTCTTGCTCATTCCATTCCCTGGGTTTATTTAGTGAGTGAAACGAGTACACTTTTCCAAAAGCAGGATGTTCCAAAAACATCCTGGGTTTGATTTTAGTTTCTGGGTTTAGATCCAAATTTAATGATTAGTCTTTTTATGTAACTTACTTTGAAGCAATTTGAGTAGGGTCTTCTCCATCCTCAAATTTAGAAAGGTATTAGCCCGTTAGAAACAGTCTTCTTATAGGGTTGAGAAAAAAGAAAGTAGTAAATTTAGACTAATTGCCCGTTGTACTGTTGCAGAAATTTTTCAGAAGGAAAACAGCCCGTGATCTTCTCCCAGTGAAGCCGGTGGACATCGCCATAGAGGCATGGTGGGTGGTGCAGGCTGGATATATCATGGAAGATGACATAAAGGTAGTTATCTGGAAAAGGGTTTTTATTTTAAAGATTACTGTAAATTATAGTTCTCTAAGTGTTATTAAAAAGTAACACTATTTGGTTTTCTTGAAGAACATTAAACAAATTCAAAATACAGGATGATCTTAGTAGGCTGAAATATTGGTGGGCTCCCAAGATGCTCTTGAATAATGAGGGGGACTCGGCTTGGTTCCTGCACAGTCCCCTGGGGATTGTAACCAGACAGCAGTTTCGGGAAGGTGGGTGTGATGCTGCAGCCACCGGCAGTCGTGTCGGCCGGCCCTTACAAGCACCTGCTGTGTGCTAGGTGTGCCTGGCACCGTTCCAGCGCTTCTTTGCTGTCTCCTTTGCTGTCTGCTCAGAGCAGCCCCTGAGGTGTGTATGCTTTGTACCCCGTTTCACATCTCAGGAAAGTGAGCCCAGAGAAAGGACGCGATGGCTCAAGGCACAGTGGTAGGAAAGGGCCAGGACTTGAACCCAGGCAGTTTGCTGTGGAACCCGAGTTCTTAAGTTCTGCGCTGAGTGAACTGCTGTGCTGAAGTGAAAGGTGCTTTGACAAGGTGGTCGTGTCAAAGTGAAGGGCAATGGTATTCCCAGCGGTCGGGCCGCATTTCATGTGCGCCTTTCGCGTTGTAGAAGAGATGTTGGTGTCCGGGGACAGGGTGGGGTGACGGACAGGGGCCTTCAGGACCAGGTCCCGTGTCTGCGGGGCTGAGGGAATGTGAGTGAGCATGTGGGCTTCTTGTTTGTGTTTCATTGTACCCCAGAGGACAGCTACATGAGTGGGAGGCTTAGAAGTTTTGCTTCAGTGTAAGCACTTTCTAGCAGCTACCAGACTGCCCTGAGATAGTGGACTTCTGACTCGTGGCAACCACGTGCAGTTTGAATCCGCTTTATTTTTGAAAGGTTCGGAATCTCAAATGGGTCAGATTTCAGTCCAAAGAAGAGGAAAAGAGACCGGTGTTTATTGTGAACGTTCATTACCACAGGTGCTGTTATTGATGGTTACTTTGTTCTGTAAGTTCTGCTGGCAGCATCTTCCTGCACCTTAGTCGATGCTGATGTGCAGAGCATGTTAGAATTCTGGAGTGAAAAGTGAAAAAAGTATGTAGTTCTGGTTTAAACATGAATAGATTTGAGGAGACATGAATTAGTGAATTTGGACCTAACTTAATTGAAAATATTTTGCTTTTCTTAGATATGCACTTTGTCTGAGAAGTTCGCTATTGATAAGATCATCGATGCAGGCCCTCAGCTCGCTGGATCACTAGATTACAATGTAGTACATAGTAAGTGGTTAGTAGAACTGGTCTTTTTCAACGTAAAAACATGTTTTAAGTCATTAAAATTAGTAGCAACTTTTTATTAATTAGGTAAAAATAGTAATGTTTCCTAGAGGCATGTTATTCTGTGAAATGTGACTGTAGTCCATTGTTTTCCACTGTGGCTGTAATTAGTCACATCCACTAGAAATTTATACAAATGAATCATGAGAAAAATATTGCCGTTTTGAGCATATGAGGGAAGCTCAGATTTGAAAACTTAATTCTTCTGTTTTACTTTTTTGTTTTTCACATGGCATTCAGTTGTATGAATCTTGTTATTTAAAAAAAAAATTTTTATTGTTGTTCAGTTACAGTTGTCCCCATTTTTCCCCATTGCTCTCCCCTGCCCTACTCCCTCCCCTCACTTCCACATTAATCCTTTCCCCCCTTGTCCTTGACCTTGGGTCCTTTATACATGTTCCTTGACTTGACCCTTCCCTTTCTTTTCTCCCATTTACTACAGAAAATCAGGAATCAGTTTTTTAAAAAAAATATAGTGTGCCATCTAAAAGAAGGTACTTTTGTTTCTATAGGTTTATATAACAAAGGGTTTATTTATCTGGATGTACCAATATCCGATGACAGTTGTATAGCAGGTAAGTGTGTGCTAATATTTTTCAGTGTTTTTTTGAATGGTTCTGGGTACTGCTTATCACTTTAGTAAGTTAGACACAAATCATTCCAGGATCTTTGGTGTTAGAATTTTCCAAAGAAGGAAAGACATTCATATTCTCATTACTGTGTAATGTGTTTATGGTGGTTTTACTTAAAGTCCTTATTTTCATTTTTATATTATTTGGTGTGCACACTATATTAAAATAATAGAAACCTGAGTTAAATTCCTCACAATCCTAAATCCAATTATTGTAAGTTTATGTCACTGTTTAGCGCATCACAGTTTTTACATATATTCAGTAATATCACAGAATTGTGTGTTCTCCACGTCCACTGATCTGTGCCTTATATTTCATGTCACTGCCGTCGTTTTTGTTTTCATCTCTTCCTTCCTACTTTACCCTCCAGTTAAATCAAAGTTAAGCCCCTTGTATATTTCCTTCTACACTTAGGGGTATATTAGTTCATTAACTCATCACCTATTGCAGGTCATTTAGATTATTTCCAGTGTTTTGCTACAATAGTGATGTCGTTAGCATTTTTGAACACAGAATGGAGCTTTTTTCTTACCAATTTGTAGAAACACTTGTTATATTTAGGCTAGGTGTTACAAGTATGTATTCCTGCATATCTTTTAGCTGTTTTTCGTGTTTGTGGTATCTTTTACCATACTAAGATATTTAATATTTGTGTAATGAAATAGAAAGTGTCAAAAAGTTCCAGGGAATGGCCTTACTATTAATAACCGACGGGTGGGTGGTAGGGCTCATCGCAGAAACACTCCTTCATATCAGTGTGCGTCATGGCTGGTTATCATGCCCTCGAGTGTCCTGATCTTCCTGTCTGCCTGTGTTGATGATGCTTTCATAAGGCGTTTGGAACCACGTATAGACATGAATTCTGTTTGAAGCTCAGGCATGCTGGTTTTAAAATTTGGAAGTTTTTGACAAGGACTTGATTTCTGGCAGACAGAGGTGGTAGTGGTCTGCTGTCAGCCCTGGAAGATATGAAAGCATTCCTCGGGTCCCCACTCTTACAAACTCACATGGACTCCTCCAGATCCTGAAAAGACTGGTGTTTGAGTAGTTCCTTTCAGTCCATGCTGACAGTTTGGACACTGACTCGTGTTAACACTAAGTTCTGGAGGAAGCAGCAGAGAAGGGCTGAAGGGATGGCTCTTCATTGCAGTGTCCCGTTCCTCCAGGCTCCAGCCTGGCAGGTTCTGGTGGCACAGACAAGAGCCTTGGTATTGTGACTGCCGTCTCCACGTGGCCTCCGGCTGGTCCCCAGATTGGCATAACCCTTGAAAGGGGAGCAGTCTGATAACATGGAAGCCGTCAGATTCCTCCCAAAAGCCACCTGACGGCGATTTCAAAGGAAGCAGCTCCAATGTGCTTCCACAGAAAACAAGTCCTGTGGGTGGTGGAACAAACAGATGTGGGGAGAGAAATACTTTGGAGAGAATAATCATGGAAGGGCCTGTTATTAAATAAAATACATTTAGTCCACCATCATCATACTTGACGCTTTACTTTTTATGTGTACTCTTTTGTAGCTTCTAGATTTCTATTTTACTTGGATAGAGTTTTTCCAGGACATACAAATAGTCTAAAATTTCTTTAAAACTTTAATCATACTTATTGAAAACTGTGGTGTTGAACTTATTTTCACATTTGATGGGAAATAAGGGCCCAATTTGGATAACCAGCAGCGTCTGGATAAATGGTAGCGCGTTTTTCCAGTAACTCGTCACCACTGAACAGAATTCTGCACGGCTCTGTCATCCATGCAGTTTCTCTCCATTTGGATTAGTTCTCATATCCTTTTTTCTTCATGTGCGTTTTTGAACTCACATGGACTTTACACCAGTGAAGTTACTACAGTGACTTAGAGTAATCTTTAATGTTGGCTGCAGCCAGGCCTGCCCTGTGTCTTTTCTTTATAACTTTCCTGGCTATTCCTAGCTGTTTCTTCATGTTCACTTATTTTTATGATGATTTTTTGAGTAGGCAATAATTATGATATAAAATTCTAAATTCACAAAAGAGTATAAAAACCCCTGTCCCTGCCCCTAGCCAACCGATTTTTCTCACAGCACCTACTGTTAGGGTTTTTGTATATTCTTCCCAAAGTGTACTAAGCTCATGGGCACATGTAAAGGGCCTGGCAGTAGTCTCTCACTTGGTAAGTGTTCAGTAAGTGTTTGTTATTACTAATTATTACACAACTGATAGTGTAGGAAAAGGGTTAAATACATCAAATACGGGAATTATAAAATATTTCTGGAAAGAGACCTTTGATCATTAAAAGTATGTGGATGACTGGAAATACGGGAGCACAAGCTCAGAGAATGATGTGATCCAGATACGAAGTGAAGAACCAGTCCTGTCTTGTACGTTGTGGTTTTTCATGGTGTCTTCCTGCTCACGATTTTATCTTACTTCTCCCTGTTGGGAGCAATACAGGTTTGGGATGCAGCTGGATGGTATTAGGGTCTAGGACACGGGTCTAGGACACGGGCATTCTGCTGTGGCTACCAGGGGCGTCCAGCCTTTTGGTGTCTCTGGGACTCACTGGAAGAAGAAGAGTTGTCTTGGGCCACACATTAAATACACAGAAACAGTAACAAAAACCGATGAGCAAAAAAAAAGAATGAAAGAAAATTTATGATTTTGTGTTGGGCCATATTTATAGCCATTCTGGGCTGCACACGGCCCACAGCCCGTGAGTTGGATGCCCAAACACTCTGCCTTCTCAGAATTTTTTCAAGGGAAATGTGCCCAGAGTGCGTAAGGCAGAGGAAGGCGCAGTACCTCTGTTTTTGTCTGGGCAGAGTGCTCTATTAAATTGGATTAGAGCACCTGGACCAAAGAGATGGAAACAAGTACGAACAAACTTTCAGGTGGAGAGCAAAGCTTGGGCAGTCTCTTGTGCCGCAGAAGGCCTTGACCTTCTTCCTGCTGAGGAGGACACAGACTAGAAGGGCCCAAGGAGCAGAGTATACCAGGATTGCTGGTAAACGGTGGGTGGCAGTCACACAGGTGAACTCCCCTCTTCTCTGCGTGGAGTGGGGATGACGGCAGAAAGGCAGAGAGCCAGTGCTTTCCACGCGCCTGGTTTTCGTGTGGCCCGGCCGTGTAGCCCGGCCGGCCAGTCCTTCGCTGCTCTGCTTCAGCCCCGCCCCCCCTCCGCCTTCCCTGTCCCGAAGCAGCCCAGGTCCCCATGCCTTCCTGTCAAGCCCTGTCCTCAGCACCTCCTCTGCCTCTGCAGTGTGGAGAGGTCCTTGGGGATTAGATTCCTCTCTGCTGCTGGAGTCTTCCCTCTGTAGGCACGGTTGATGTGGCCTTAACTTTGGTGGTTTTAGAGCACTTACTGTTGAGTGGATAAGATAAGTCAAAAGCTGAATTCAGTATTTTAAGTAGAGGTTTCTCTTTTTGAATAGATATTTGAATTAATGCTTTCTTTTATAGAATTATGTTACTGAGAAAAGTCTGTTTTGTTTATTTTAGTTCCTCCTCTTGAAGGTTTTGTAATGAATCGAGTACAAGGTGATTATTTTGAAACTCTACTCTATAAGATATTTGTGTCAATAGATGAGCATACTAATGTTGCAGAGGTAAGTATATCAACGTCTTGTGAAAGAATTTTTAAAAAAGATTTTATTTATTTATTTTTAGATAGAGGGGAAAGGAGGGAGAACGAGGGAGAGAAACATCAATGTGTGGTTGTCTCTTGCACACCCCCTAGTGGGGACCTGGCCCGCAACCCAGGCATGTGCCCTGACTGGGAATTGAACTTGTGACCCTTTGATTTGCAGGCCGGCACTCAGTCCACTGAGACACAACGGCCAGGGCTTGTAAAAGAATTTAACCTCAAGATTATAAGTTAAGTTTGTGTGAAGTAGTTAACATTATTTAATGATATGGTCAGGATGTTTTAAAAATCTATACCTGGGTAGATCATAGACTATTAATATACTTAAGTCACTCTTCTTAAGTTATTTCCTGCACTTACAAAATTTGGTAAATAAATTTTTATTAGGCTTTACAGTCTTGCACTGCGTAACACCATGAGAGAGGGGCCGCATTTATGACAGTGGTCCCATAAGATTATAATGGAGCTGAAAAATTGCCACAGTCTAGTGACATGGTAGCCTTCCTAAGGTCACACATGGCACAGCGAACCCCTGTTTGTGGGGGGTGGGTCCGGTGCACTGCCCACAGACTGTTCTCCTTTCTAGACAGTGTTTCACGGGGTCCACCCTTGCAGTTCCTTGTTAGAATTGTAAGATGCCCTTCAGCAGTCACCATTAGGAAACTTTGAAGAAAACAAGTTTCCTACTTACAGGCCTTGGAGTGTACAAGGCAGGGAGAGGGGAAGGGATGTCCAGGAAAAAAAACCCAAGTAACTCAAATGCTAGTTATTGATATTAAGATCTCCGAAACATGACGTCTAGCCCCAGTGGTCAGTTATGGAAATCAAGATCTAGAACACTGGAGTCTCAGGGGGCAGGGGGAGGTGGCCTGGCTCTTCAGTCCTGTGGCTGGCAGTGTGTTTATTCCAGATAGCCTTTCTCGGAGGGGAGTCCTCTGCAGTCAGAGCTTAAGTCAGGTGCTCGCATCGCCAAAGGAAGAGCCAGCTGGAGGGAGTAAACTACAGCGAGTCCGTGACTCACTCACGCGTGTGTGGCGATGCGGGTGTAAACAGACCTCCCGTGCAGCCAGCAGTGTGAAAGCGCAGCGCAGGCGTTGCAGTGCGGGCGGTGCCGTCTGGGCCCTGTGGTAGTACACTGTGTGGTGTTCGCACTGCACGGACTCGACTCCCGGCGCGGTTCTCAGACTGTAGCCCTGCCTGCAAGCACTGCGTGACTGTTTGGTAAAAGGATGTTCTGGGAGTTTCCTTACTTTAAATGAGACGGAAGAATGTCATACAATTTTTAATTTCATTTTCCAGCTTGCAAACGTGCTTGAGATAGACCTATCCCTTGTTAAGGTATGTAATTTTTATACTCCTTTTACTTACAATGTAAATACTGAATGGATTCTATTTTGGGTTTTTGTCTTGATAAGCTCCCTAGAAACGAAGGCAGTGGGTTTCTTTTCAACTGTTGGAGAAGTGCACACAGTCAAGGGTGCTTACGTGATAGGAAGGGGCACGATGGGGGGCCCGCCACTAGCAGTCCACCCCGAGGAGTGCACGGGAGCGCCCACACTTCTCTGCAGAGCGGGAGGCAGGCTGATGGGCGTCTTGTAATGAGGTCATGAAGGCAGCAGCTCCGCCGCTGGGGACAGATCTAGGGAGGCCAGGCCGGAGAACTGGGCGCATTCCTCTCTCCGTGTGTGAAGACCTAGGGGAAGAATCAGTGTACAGAAAATTGTTTTTCTACTTACAGGATGAAAATGTGTGAGGATGTGTAGGCATAGCCTGTGATCACATTTTGTCTGCAAGGATTCTGATGTCTGGTTTATTGGAAATGCTCATTTCCTGGATGTATTTCTTTCAGAATGCTGTGTCAATGTACTGCCGATTGGGCTTTGCCCATAAGAAGGGACAAGTGATAAACTTGGATCAACTTCATTCATCATGGAAAAATGTTCCATCCATAAACAGATTAAAGTAACTCATTTATTTCGTATGAGATCTTAGAGTTTTCTTTTAAAAAAAAATACAAAAATACAGTTGCACATACAAAAATTTTACTTATTTGCCATCATTTGAAGTGAACCCTATATATTAGGGTTCTTTTAAAATTTTATGTGTGATGAGTCTTTTAGAACTGAGGGAAACTAAGAACCCTAGGGAAAAGGCATGTACAACATTTCACATATATGGTGATTTTAAAGGGCTCTCAAATTCCCCGGAGTCCTGGGGGAGATCTGTAGGGCTTGGTTAGGAAGCCTTGTCCGGTGAGGGCGCAGCATTTTGGGGCTACATTTCAGTGTCAGGCTTGAGTATGACTGGTGCAGATAGACGTTTATGATTTAAGTTCTGACTTCACTAAGTACTTTTATATAAGACCACATACAAGATTTCTAAAAGTGAGTGGTTTCTTGGTTACCAGGAGCACTTTAGATCCACAGAAGATGCTGCTGTCGTGGGACGGCGGGGAAAGCAGGAGTCCTGTGCAAGAGGCCTCGTCCGCCACTGACACCGACACCAACAGTCAAGAAGACGCAGGTTAGCAGTGACTTGGTGTGATTTGGAGTGTCTCTGCAGACAAGGCGTGTGTCTGCATGCACACTCACAGGGGAGCTCTGGAGACTTAGTGATCTTACAGTTTGTTCTAGAGTTCACTCATTCCATGTGCAGTCTGTGAGTACTGACCAATGTGTTGGGCACTGTGCTAGGTCTTAAGGGTATAAGATGGACAAGAACATGGTACCTTCCTTCTAAGAATTAAGTCTAGGGAGAGAAGGCAGTGTAGCTGCAGAAACCACAGCAATGTGAGAAATGGTGCAGTGTTTGTGGGGAGCAGAGAGGAAGGGCCCCCTCATTGCCTGGAGGGGTTTGGGAAGCCTTCAGGGGAGAGACGATGTCTGGGCTAGGAATGAGTAAGAGCCAGCTCGCAGGTGAGGAAGGGAGCCGTAGCGCGGGCTAAGCACGGAGGGAGGCAAAGCCTAGGGGGTGGGGAGCCGCGCCTGGTCTGTGTCGAGGGGAGAGGAGCAGAGCGTGGGCTCCCAGTTCTCCCCTAGTAGCTCTGTTACCTGGGCCAGGTGACCTGTCTGAAGAGGGTTGGCTGCTTGGACTGTTGATCTGACAGATATCAAGACTTGGTTAATTATTGCTTTTCAAGAGCTTGACTACAAAAGTGAGTGCCTTTAAAATACATTTTTAAAAAAACTTCATGTTGGTGATTAGTACTGGGACCCATATGTTGACAGTGTGGCTTATGCTTAATTATGTACTTTCTGGTTATTAAATAAAGCTGAAATGAAATAGTTTCTCATTCCAAATGATAAGCAAAGAATACTTTTCATTTACTTGATTTTAAATTACAATTTTTTTCAGCTGACACGGCCAGTGTAAGCAGTTTGAGTTTGTCTACAGGATATACAAAGCGTATAGCGTTTCTGTTTGATTCCACTCTCACTGCCTTTTTAATGATGGGAAACCTTTCACCAGTAAGTCAAATTCTTGTTTAAATATAAAAACGTTTAAAACAAAGATTAGATGTAAAGTAATTCAGTGCTTCTGTATCTTTTTAAAAATATGTCACTAGATTTATTCTTGACAATATGACTGCCTTTGATTTATATTCCATGGAGGAGGAGAGTAACTGTTATGTGACGGATACTTTTGTAACTAGAAGAGTAAGCCCCTCTACTCACGCACTGTTAAGTTTAAATATGTTGGAAAGCATAGCATGAATGTAAGATGCTGTGCTCAACATAAAAGGAGACCTAGAACTTGAAATTACTTGTATAAGACACTACGATACATTTTAACGTTTTTTTTTGTTTTTGCTGCTTTTATCGCAGAACCTGAAGAGCCACGCAGTCACAATGTTCGAAGTTGGCAAACTCTCAGATGAGTCTCTGGACAGCTTCCTTGTAGAACTAGAAAAGGTAAAGCTAGGTTGCTTATTAGGGGCTGCCAGCGCGTTTGGAACCTTTTCTTGCTTGATGAACCATCAGTGAATGATTTATGTAGGGTTTTAGTGTATTCTTGCTTGTTCCTACCGCATTTCCCGCCTGAATACTGTGGTAGTCATTTAGCTTTAAGCATACTGAGTGCATGAATGAATTTTGTGACTTCAAAAATGATTTTTTAATCTCATCTAATAGCATAATTTGATGTAACGAAGAAATAACGTTATAGAAATCTTAGTCTAGTGATTTTTTTTTAAGTTGCGTTCTTCTAAAATAGCCTTTAAATTTTATTTTTTTATCTATTTATTTACTTTTGGTGTAACTCTCTCTGATTTCCTCTTAAACATTTTCATTTAAAGTTTTTGTTCCACTTGTCTGAAATCTGAAACAGTGTCCCCGGGTGTCATATTTATGTCCCCTCCCACTGTCCCTTGTAGCCTCTTGGAGACTCAGCCGTATTGCTTGCCCTTAACCACCTGTTCTCCCGAGAGGGCAGCCCTGGTTCCCTTTGCTCCACATCTGGCCTGCCCTGGGGGTTTCTCCTTCCCTGGGTGTGTATTCCATCCTCTGCTGCTCGTGCAAACAGCCCGAGTGCCTCCTCTGTTTCCTGACTGATCGTTGTGGCACCTTTTGTGCTGTAGTGATGAGCTCTGTGTGTTAGACGGGCTGTTTAGAGAATTTTTGATGATTTTTTAGAAATTATGTTTAAAAAAAAAGTACTACTTATAACATTTTCATTGCCCCTTCTCTGTAGGATTTTTACTTTTTTAGTGTAGAAATAGGTTTGAGATAATTCTTCTTATTAATTGGTCTCTTTTACCTTGAATTTCCATTATTCCCTCAACACTTTTAACATCTTGTTAATGCTGTTTCTTATTGTGTATTACCTTTTGCCAATACGTGTTTGTTATATTCTTGCACACCTACGTTCTGTTTTCCTGAGTTGTATTTTTCTTACCTCATCTAGTCTTTTACCAAGTATAGCAAGTTGGAACATCACTTTTACACTTTATAGATCTATATTCTTTTTTGTCACATGGTCTTTCTTGGGAAAGCCTATTAGTGGGAAGTTTTGTTTTTAAAATAGTTTCTTAGCTATCTTTTAAGAAGCCTCAGTTTGATTAAACTTAATTGGTTGGTCTTATTTAATGCAAATCTAGTTTAGTTATTTCCCCCGTAGACCTGTCCGTCCGTGTTCTGTGTTGTTTCTGGGATGTGTGTGTTTCTGCATATCAAACAGGTGGCTGACTCAGGGTCAGAAGAGCATGCGCGAGAACGTGAGCCCAGAAAAGGCAGGGGTTTTGTTCGGTGCTCTGTCCTCATGGCCTGGACGGGTCCTCGCACATAGCACAGAAGAGGGGCTCAGTAATTCCTCATTGAACAAAGTTAAGCTGTGTACTCAGCAGTGGTGAACAGCTTTGTTGAGTCACGTGCTCTATTGTCCCTTGTAACCAATGATACAAAACTGTGGCCAGTGTGATGAGAATTAGAGGCACAGTTGGTGACCACACATTGGAATACTTTACTGGATGAAGCAGACTATGGATCTTAGAGGTTTTTAAGCACCCTATTTGAATCATACGTGGGACATATAATGTATACAGTGGTGTGATTTAGCATTATTTGGTTTCTAAAAGTGTTAGTTTTACTTGAAGTCATTTCTATCATCTTCAAACATATGGTCAAATGGAAAAATCAACAGAGATTGGGGTTAATATTTGTTTTGGTACTACCTGGGCAAATTTTTGATTTAATGATTTTAATGTCTTAATATCTCTACTATTTGGAATGTATTAGAATGAATGGCCTAAGAGTGGTATTTGTTGAAAAACTTATTTTCTCTTGGTTTAGGTTCAGAGCACTGGTGAAGGAGAAGCACAGAGATACTTTGACCACGCACTCACTCTGAGAAACACGATACTTTTTCTTCGTCATAATAAAGATTTAGTTGCACAGACTGCACAGCCAGACCAGCCCAATTATGGTATGAGATATAGCCTTGATTCTGAAGACATGATCCCATGGAACTTCTGAGAATTTAAATAGGTCATGCTCACTTATTTAATCATCATTTATTTCGTACATTTTGTGTAAGCACATTGGACTTAAAGCTAGAGACTTGTTTAGTGAATTTCTTTGCTTGTCGCTGTTTCTTACCTTATTTTACTTTTTCTCCTTTTATGTGCCACTGACATTTGTAGTATTTAAATCTTATTAGTACCTACAAAAATGATTGGAGTGTTAATCTCTTTAAGTAGTTGGGTGGAATTTAGAACAGGCATCTCTTCTGAGGGGCGAACAGATGCCAAAATTAATGTAGGAAGCATAAAATTTCAAGAATAAAAGATTCCATTGTATAAAACTAATAAACAAGGGTTTCCTATTCAGATACTGCTGAAATATTTATTGACTAAAGTATTTTACTTTAAAAACTAGACAAGAGAACAGTAACCTCTTTTTAAAGAGTAAAAGAAAGTAGCAATTTTAATCAGTTGGTGAACCCAAATGTGGCTGTCGCCTTGGGGTGCAGTCTCAGTTTTGCGACAGACCGGGAGTTCCCAAACTTGAGTTGAGTTGAGGGAATCAGAATTCAGACCCCGGTGCCGCGGGCCCTGAGTCATGGGTGGTGCCCGGGAGCGTCAGTCTTTGCAGAGTCTTTGCAGAGGTGCAGTAGCCCGAGCACCAGTGTGAGAGAGAGCACCAGGGTGAGGGAGAGCACCAGTGCAAGAGAGAACACCAGTGCAGGAGCGGAGCATTTGGCTCAAGTCCTGGATGTTCACAAGTGTTGCATCTCAGGACTTCGAATTCTCAGCACCACTGTAACATTTAATTTCACACATTCTTTCACATTTGTAACCTTTTTTGTCTTTTATGACTTTTTTTGAGGATGTAGTATCTTTTTGTTGGTCTCACTGAAAGTTTCTCACTTGGGGTGCATGTGGTGTTTCCTTGTGATTAGATTTGGGTTATGCATTCATGTCTAGAATATTGAGTAAGTTATGTGTCCTTCTAAGGGAATGACATCTGGGGGCACATGATTCCCACCTGCCCCCTATCGTGATGCTAGTTTTGATTGCACAGTTAACGTGTTTTCTGATTTCTGTGCTGTTTACTTAACTGTCCTCCTCCCACTCCACCCTGCAACTAGTAAGCAGTCTGAGGGCAGATACTTTAAGATGATGTAAATATCCTGCATGTCATCCGTGTTTCTTCTAGATTCAGCACCCATTCCTGATTCTTGTCTGGATCACCCTTTAATTTTTTTTCTAAGTGGATCAGTTATTCTGTATTTGACAGTTGGGACTAGGTATGCTTTTATATTCTTAGTATGGATTAGTCATTCCTGTCTCTTAATTATTTTGTGATACCAGTGTCTCAGATTTTGCCAGTGGGATATCCTTCCAACTGGCTCCTGTCTCCTTGTGCCATGCCTCCATCTTAAAAAAATTTTTTGAGCGATATTTTACTTTCCGGCAAAATAATCGTGTCTTGTACTTCTGCCCAGTCCCAGATCAGCCTTTCTTTTTACTGAAGGCATGGTGTTACATTAAGGATCTGGCCCTAGTTGCGCTTAAGGCTTCTGAGCTTTTTCAGCATGCCACACATTGTTTTAGATGCATCTTACTTGAGGGTTCAACACTGGAAGCCTTCAAATCTGGTGCCTACTGAGTAAATTCATGCTGTGTGGACCAGCTGCAGGGAACTCTTGCTGGACTCAGGACCTGGCTGTGCTGCTCTTTGTAGAGACTGGGAGTTGGGGGAGGGAAGCCCACAGCTCGCCTGTGGCGCCCAGGCGCTCCTAGTTTGCCGCTGCCCTGGAGTGGCTGGGCGGGACAGGAAGACGGGGAAAACAGGTAGTTTTTTAAAGTAAAAGGTAGCCTAAAGAAATACTGGTAGACAGTTATCTTTTTAGACCAGCAATAAAGACTATTAGCTTTAAACCTTAAAAGTATCATCTTAGTGGTCCCTTAGGAAATATGGCATTTTTAATATTCCGTCTTAAAAATTTTTTTTTAATCTAAAGGTAGATAACCGGTATTTTGTCTTAGATGTTTTTGTTTCATATTGTCAGTCTTTCATTCCCTGTGTGTGCTTGGTCATAATTCAGGTTTTCCTCTGGATCTCTTACGCTGTGAAAGCCTTCTTGGTTTGGACCCTGCGACTTGCAGCAGAGTTCTAAACAAGAACTACACACTGCTCGTGTCCATGGCTCCTCTCACCAATGAGATCCGGCCTGTCAGCAGCTGCACCCCTCAGGTAAAGACCACGGGGACGGAGGCTGCCGCCCCCATTTCATTCTTCCTTGTGGTGGCTTGAAGAAGATCTCTAACCGTCCTACGGGGTTCATTCTCGTTTGCAGACACCATGTTCAAGTCACTGGCTCGCAAAGCAGTTTTGTGTTTTGTGCTGTTGTAAGATGTTATGTTCAATTTGTGAGGTGTAATTGGTGCATTTTATTTGTGTATCATGCAGTGCCTTGTGACATAGTAGATTAAAGTTTTCTTCTTGAATGCAGTCTTTTAAAGAATGTTTTTGGATGCTGTAAGAAGGGAGTCTGGATTGCCTTGAGGGATAAGATTAGTTTAATTAGGAAAAATTAAATGTTTTAGAAATGGGGCTGTGATACTACATAAACTGAAAAGAAAAGATAGTACTGGAAAGGTAGAACTCTGGTTATCTTTTAAAATTTACTTGTGAAAATGACTTCCGGTTTTTACTTAGCAAGGACTTTGTGGTTTGTACCATTTTCAGAGTAGGGTTTATGTCGCTCTGTTTCAGTGTTACATCATTTCCTAGACAGTGTGCAGGGGTTCATGGTATGGAAGAAAGGAAGGGATTCCTGTGCAAGGCTGATTTTGTTGTTGTGCTGATCTAGCTGCCCTTGTGAGCATACCCTCCGCCACATCTGTCCTCTGTTCAACTGTGGTTGTAGGTTTGCTTTACCAGCCTCTTTTTATAATTCTCCGTGTGCCCCCTCCAATCCCACCCACTCCACACTTCCTCCTATTCTGGAACGCGCAACCTCTAGGCGTAGTAGGAATGCGTGAACTGTAAGTGAATGGGAGGAGAGTCCTTTTGGGAGAAATTACTAATAATAGTAATAATGAACACTTTGATACAGGGCTTACTATATACCAGGTACTATTTTAAACTTTTATTTATTTTATTTTTTTTTAATTGTTGTTCCAGTATAGTTTTCTGTCTTTCACTCCCATCCCTGTCCACACCCCCAGTCCTCCCCACCTCCCTCCCATTTCCACCCCCACCCCAGTTTTTGTCCGTGTGTCCTTTATACTTGTTCCTGTAAACCCTTCTTCTTTTCCCCTGAAATTCCCTCTTCTCTCCCCTCTGGTCACTGTCAGCCTGTCCTGTATTTCAGTGTCTTTGGTTATATTTTGCTTGTTTGTTTGTTTTGTTGTTAGGGTTCCTGTTAAAGGTGAGATCATATGGTATTTGTCTTTCACCGCCTGGCTTACTTCACTTAGCATAATGCTCTCCAGCTCCATCCATGCTGTTGCAAAGGGTAGGAGCTCCTTCTTTCTGCCGCATAGAATTCCATTGTGTAAATGTACCCTAGTTTTTTGATCCATTCATTTACTGATGGGCACCTAGGTTGCTTCCAGCACCTAGCTATTGTAAATTGTGCTGCTATGAACATTGGGGTGCGTAGGTTCTTTTGGATTGGTGTTTCAGGGTTCTTAGGATATAATCCTGGCAGTGGAATTGCTGGGTCAAAAGGCAGATCCATTTTTAGTTTTCTGAGATAATTCCATACTGTTTTCCATAGTGGTTGCACCAGTCTGCAGTCCCACCAACAGTGCACTAGGGTCCCCTTTTCACCACAACCTCTCCAACATTTGTTGCTTATTTTAAACTTTTTGGAACAACCCGACAACATCTGTATGAGGTAGATATTTTATTGTTTCCTTACAAAAGAGCAAAAGGGGGCACAGAGCGCTTAGGTGACCCTTTTGAAGATGATATGGCGATGGGATTCAGGCCTTAGTGGTCTGCTTCAGAGTCCATTCTCTTAGTTGCAGTGATAAGATGTCCTTCCTCAGTAACAGCGTAAAACTGAAACTGTTTGGACAGAGCATTTAAAAGTTATTTTCATAAGGTTGATAGCAGTTAGTATTTATATGCAGCATTAGCTGTTATTAAGACTGTACTTGGTCAGCTTGTGAAATTCGGCTTCCTTGGGTAAGTGTTACCACTTTGCCTTACCTGCTTTCTGATTACAGCATATTGGACCAGCTATCCCAGAGGTCAGCTCTGTCTGGTTTAAACTGTACATTTACCACATCACCGGGCAGGGACCACCATCCCTTTTACTGTCCAAAGGTACCAGGCTCCGAAAACTGCCAGATATATTCCAGGTATGTTGTATGAGATTTGTTTGTTTTAATTATTTTTGAGTAGGGTAAAAATTGTTAAGCGGTTTTAGAGATAACTTTCTTAATTTTTTCCCCACATTTCTGAATGCCATTTTGCCTTTCTTTTGTTCATTTCTTTCCCATAGGGTTATGATCGATTACTAATAACGTCTTGGGGCCACGATCCTGGGGTGGTTCCTACATCCAACGTGCTCACGATGTTGAATGATGCTTTAACGCACTCGGCGGTTTTGATTCAGGTACAGTTACTTCATTTGAAACAACCCATTTTGGACTTTTATTTTAAAGCTTGTAATTTGTATATCATTCTGCTGTGTTGCAGTTGGATGTCAGTAATTTGGAATGCATAAAACTGAAACACAAAGAGTCAGACCTGGGTTTCATCCGTGGCCTTTGTCTGGCAGTACTCGAGTAGCAGGAGCAACATGGACTGCAGAGTCCAGCCTCGCCTTCCGTAACCCACGTAGCTGTTCTTTTCTTCTAAAAATAGTTTTATTGATGTAGTTCATGCAGCAGACAGCTCACCAATTTTAGGTGCACAATTACGTTTTTTAGTATAGTTAGTTCCCCTAACTCACGTTTTCACTTTCTGCGGTTTCGGTTACCATGCCCTGAAAATATTAAATGGGAAACTCCAGAAATAAGTAATTTATGGATTTAAATTACATGCCATTCTGAGTAGCATGGTGAAATCTCGAGCCGTCCTGCTGCACCCTCATGGAGGGTGGATCGCCCCCTGTCCAGTGTGTCCACACTTGTCCACGTCCCCACCTGTTAGTCGCTGAGTGGGCGTCTCGGTTGTAGTGGGTAGGCAGTGGGGAAGAGAACGTTCACCTAACTCTTATCACACTATATTTTTATAATTATCATATTTTATCATTAGTTATTATTGTCAGTCTCTTACTGGGACTAATTTATAAATTAAACTACATCATAGGTATGTGTATATGTATAAGAAAAAAACAGTATACAAGGTCTGTCCTGAAAGTATCCAGCCATTTACTGTGAAAAGTAGGCATTTATTGAAGAAGATACAAGAAACATTGTACATAGGACAATGACACCTCAGCCCCCTTCAAAGTAGGCACCTTGGGACCTCACACAGTTCTCCCATTTGCCATCAGCTGCCATGTCCTATTTTTCTGAATTTCTTTGGTGGTCTAAAATCTCTCCCCTTTTAAAGGTGATTTTAGGTTTGGGAAAGGCCAGAAATTGCAGGGCAGCAAATCTGGGCTACAGCGGGGCTGAGTTACCTGGTTGATTTGATGTTTCACCAAAACACTCTGCAGGAGATGTGATGTATGAGTGGGCACGTTGTCATCACGAAGCTGCCAATCACCAGTTACCCATAGCTGTGGCCTTCTGAATCATCCAAATAGTTTCTGTGGAGGAATGTTCAAGCTTAACGCAAAATTCGATACAGATTCGTTGCTCTGCTAGCTCAGTCATTTTGAATGTGAAGGCCACACAGTACACACGTTTGCTCAGTGATGTCTACCACCCCCACTGACTAGTACAGTGAAGTCGTCATTGTTCACACATGGGCGTTCCACTCTGCTCTCCTTGACTGGCAGGCCACATGGATGTCATGCAAACCGTTCTTGGTATGTTAGCAATGGCTGGACTTTTTCCAGACACATCCTGTATGTAGGGTTTGGTATTATCCTTGGTTTCAGGCATCCACTGGTGGTCTTGAACGTGTCCTCCCCAGTTGGGCAGATGGCTGTAGGCAGCGATCTGCAGCATTGCCAGCTCCATTTTAGACCATTCCCATCACTCAGAAGGGAATCCTCCTCCTCTAGTTCTTACTCCCCTGTTCTCCCAGCTGCCCAGCCCTAAGCAATACTAATACTTGCTCTCTCTTTACAGTGCCTATTCGGGCATTTCATATACATGAAATTATATATGTGGTCTTTTGTGATGGACCTGTTTTACCTAGCAGGATGTTTTACGTTTCATCATGTTTTGGCATATATCAGTACTGCATTCCTTTTTATGGCCAAATAATTAATAGTCCCTTCTATGAATATACCACATTTTCTTTGTCCATTTATCATTGATGGATATTTGGGTTGTTTCCATCTTTTGGCTATTATCAATAATAATAATCACCGTTATAAACATTCATGTACAAGTTTTTGTGTGGACATGTTGTGAATTTCTTGGGTATATGTGGCTACAAGTGGAAATGCTAGGTCAAATAATAACTCTGTGTTTAATTGTTTAAAGAACTTCCCGGCTGTTTTCCAAAGTGACTGCATCATTTTACATTCCTGCCAGAACTAGGCATTAACTGACTCTTTTTTACTGTAGCCGCCCTGTTGAGTGTTTAGTGCTGCCTCGTTGCAGATGGTGTGTGTCGTGGGCGTGTCGAGCACAAGGTGTCTGTGGGACATTTGAGTGGTAGAGATATCTGGGTAATTGAAAATATTGTGAAATTCTAATGAGAGGTTGAGCAGGAGGGATTGATTTGAGGGTCCGCATCAGCACGTAGGTGGTAGATGGAACCATGAGGGCGGGCACATTAGCCCCCAGGGGAAGCGTGGGGTAGGAGGAGTAGTGGGTGATCCCACAATGGAATGGGTTAGACTTGGGCTCAAGTCAGACTGACTAAGTTCTGACCTTGATTCCACCACTCACTAGTAACCTTGGGCAAGTTAGATGACCTCCTTGAACTTGAGTGCCTTCACCTGCAAAATGGAGATGACAAAAGTTTTTTTATAAGATTGCTGAAAAGCCTGAGATGGAAAATCTACATAAAATGCTTAGCCCGGTGTTTAGCACATGAGATCTCAAAAAATCTTGGCTCTGCTTGTCATGGGAATACACGTAGGGAGAATGAGTTTTAAGGTGTTTGTTAAGGAGTTTTGCTTTTGCTAAAAAAAGAAGGTCTCCTTTATTAAATTCCATGGAAAATTATCTCACTGGAACTTTAAACAACAAAACTAAGATTTTGATTAAAACCATGCTTTTATTATAAAAGTGTTTAAATTATAAGTGTATCAGTGAAATAGAAGCAGGGTGATAGGAATATATTCAAGTTATTATATGAACTAATGAGTGATTTTTCTCTGAAATTACTGTTCTTAATATCATAACATCTTGAATTTGAATGATGTATGGGTCTTTTTCAAAGGGAAAAAATGTAGATCTCCAGTGTTAACTTAAATTTTTTATTATAATGAAACTACACATAAACATAAAATTAAATTCTTTATGCTTACTATCCTTGCATAATTGTGAAACCAAATTTAGAGATTAAATACAAAAAAACTTTAACAAAATTCAAATGAACATGAATTGAATGTGATGGATGAAAGTAAATTATTATTTGTAACATTGGAGTGGGGTGGGTATACTCGATATTTTTTAAATTTAATTTTTGAATTGATCGTGTAGTCACATGATTCAAAAATGAAACACTGTTGAAAGATGCACGGAGAAAAGTGTCACGGCTCATCTAACACCACCTACCCCATTCTCACTCCCCATCTCTCTCCAGATCGGATCACCACCCCTGTTAGTCCTGCCGTGCCTTCTGGGGGTCTTGACGCACGTGCAGGCGCTTACACAGGAACACCTCCATGCTTTCCCACTTCGCCACTGGAGGGAGGGCTTTCCATTTCGGTCTTTAGAGAGCTGCTGCTTTCCTTTTTGGGGGGGCGGCAGCTGAAAATACATTCATGAATTTATTGAATCAGCCCCTCATTGATGGGCATTTTGTTTGCTTCCAACTGTATATAATTATAATATTGCAACAAATAATTTTGAATATCTGTCATTCAGTGCAGAGTTTTGAGTGTCACACTCCTAGTCATGGTATGCCAGGGGATTATGGGGATCTTTCACCACTTTGGTTTCAGAACTAGTGCACTTGATCTCTTTCAGCGTCCTTGGCTAGAACATGATTTACCTGCTAAATTAGCCTCCTTTTAAAAATTTAGCTCATGTACTCAATGTGAGACCCATCGCCATATAGGGTCATGTATACTTGAGATTGTCTCTGCTTGCCGGGGAAAACAGAAAGTTGTTGAAAGCACTTGGATGGAGTGTTAATGTGGAATGTACCACCTCAGGGCACGGTCTTAATTTAGTGTTTGAATATCTGTTGCTGCAAATGCAGGTTTTTTACATACGTGTCAACTTGTGTTTCTTCACGTTTAGGGACATGGCTTGCACGGGACAGGAGAGACGGTCCACATCCCGTTTCCGTTTGATGACACGGAACTCCAAGGAGGTACCTCACTTCTGATTTGTATCCACTGGACTTCTTTATCGTTAACCTTCGTCACCAGTTCGGTGAAACACATAGCAAGAGACGAACACTGAAACTTCTGAAGCTCCAGGGTCCACTTACAGTCTGTTTTGAAGAGTATTGGCAAAAAGTACTTTTCTGCCACGTGCCTGTTCCCGCAAAGAGCGAATAGAGTAAGACTCACTCAGGCAGGACCTTTGAAGGAGCACTGGTCTGTGTTTGAGATGACGAGAGGGAGTGGGTGTCTGCCTCGATGAGAGACTGGGTTTTCTGTATGTTTAGTCTTCGAGTTTCCTTTTGTTGATTTATTTGAAGCAAGTCATCGGGGAGATTTTATGCTTAGAAAGTTGAGTTTTCCCCCCACAAGGTTACACAGTGGTTTTCTCTCAGGGGCTGTTTCAGTTCCTTAGAAGTAGGTGCTGACGGACGTTTGTAACCTCCCAGCTCACAGCCTCCAGAGCGCTGGCGTGGGCTTCCTGCGTCAGCTTTTTGTTTGTTTGTTTGTTTGTTTGTTTGTTGCTGTTAAATTTTATTTTTGCTGCTTGAGGGGACTTGAGTGGGTTGCAGTTTGAGCTAAATTACACTGCTTAGAATCAAGGGAGGGAAGAAAAGCCCTGTGCAATGTTACCTCGTTCTAGAATTGGAAGTGCAGTGTAGTATTTGATAGGGATGCAGAGGGTTTCTGTAGAAGCGAATTCAGTCTTCCTTTTGTCTGACATAGAAGATACCTTTTGTCTGTTGAATACTGAGAAAACATATTCAAAAGAAAAATACCATTTTTAAAACTTAACATATCTTTAAATAGCACTTCTGTTTCCTACTCCATGAAAAACTGCTATTCTGTATCTATTTTTCTGGTTTTTAGAGCCACATTGCTTGGATTTCAAGAGAACAAGGAATGGTTTGAGTGATTTAACCTATGTTAATGTATATAAAAACTTACTGTTCTATCAGAATGTTGATCCTCACTGCCCTGCCCCCAAAGTGGGGGAGGGCAGAGGATTTTTATAGATCTCTGTGTGGGGCTGAGCTGCAGGAGCCTCACGTTTGAAATTAAGTGCTCTCCTCTGGCTGTCGTGAGTAAATGTGTACACAATTTAGAGAAGAGACTTTTCTCTCCCAAAAAATAGCCACTTTTCAGACAGGAGTGCTTGTCTGCAATTAAACTTTGTATTTAATCCTCTGATAGATACTTTTTAAAATCTGTGGGAAAAAATAATTGTTCATCTGAAGATACAGAGTGACAGTAGGATCTCAAAATGTGTAAAATGTCAAGAACTCATTGATAGATCTCCTGCCTTGGGAGATCACTGTGTGAATTATAAAAAAAGAGAAATCTTCATATTTGGATATACATCATGTTCCTCTTTTCTGAGTTCACATGTTTATAAGAACTTGAGCTAATAATTTATTAGGGATATAATTTCAAGTATGTAAGCTTTATTTTCAATAAGGGTGATTTTACTTTTCCTAAATGTTTAAAAAGTAAGTGTGCTTAATAAATTTCTTGGTAGAAGCCCACCAAAGGAGCATTTGGGGCAGAATAGGACCGCAAAGAGGAGACTAGAGAATTTGCCCCTAACTGGCTGTATTTGCTTCCTTCGCAGGTAATTTGTTCTGATACAACAAATGCCTCCTGAAGGCTGCAGATGTGTTACATGTGCATAGCACCCTTTTATGTTCGCAGATGCTTTTCCATTGGAATCCGTCTTTTAGATTTAAATGTAAAGGTAGTTCAAGAGTTGTGGCCACTCACCATTTGCTGTCGCTCTCTGTTCCTAGAGTTCAGCCGTGCCAACATGGGGGTGCACAAGGCGCTGCAGGTGCTGAGGGGCAGAGTGGACGTGCGGCATTTCTGCGGGTACATCACCATGCTGAATGCCTCGAGCCGCCTCGCAAGCAGGAAGCTCAGCGATGCTTCTGATGAGAGAGGTTAGCCAAGAGTTGGCTGCTTTGAACTAAGATCATTGGTATTGAGTTGATCACAATATCTTAATATTGAAGAGAGAGCTTTGGAGGGTGTCAGACTGTTTAATATTTACTGTTTGTCACTGGAGTGTGAGGAAACGCCCCATGGTGCCGTTTGGACAGGTCCCGGGTGTTGGGGCGGGGAGCCGCTGAGAGCCAGCCGAAGGCGTGCTGTCTGTCCGGGGCGGGAAGGCGCGTGGTCCTTCCCTTGAGCCCTCTGCTGTCCTCTCCGCGTTTGTTTTCAGTTGGGCTCCTCTGTGGGGCGACGGCTTCAAAACTCTGGTCTCTTTGTGCAGATGTTTCCAGAATAGAACGAACAGTTCTTCTTTCAGCCTTTCTCTTCATCTGTCAAGGCGCCTTCGCGTCAGCGTCCACCCTGTCTGGGTGCCGTCCTTCTCCTTTCCCCGCTCTGTCCAGTCGTTCCCGGTTCTGGGAACAGGCTTTAGCAGTGTCTCCCCTTGCCGGTTCTCCGAAACGCCGTCCGCTCTGCGTCCTGGCTCTGGAAGCGGCCGTGTCTGCTCAGCCCTCCTGGCCGCCACCGCCTCCTTTCCATCCCCAGTCTCCTGCACATGGATGATGGCTGGTTTTCCTTAGTGGCCTTTTTCTTTCTTTTTAACTTAAAATTGTATCTTCCAGTCACCTTTTCATGCCTACTCATTGTTTCTGCTGCGGCATAATTTGGCTTGTGTGAGACTGCGGTTGCCATGGCGCCGGCTCTGGTCCACGAGTCCAGGAAACCCTCCAGCTCAGTAGTCCATCATCAGTTGACTCTGTCCCTTGAGCCTCCTAGTGTGAATTCCTGAGAAACATTTATCGCTAGCCATCCAGTGGGTCGGACTGGCTCCCTTCGAGCTGGGCTTTCATTCCTGGTCCGTTTACCTTTGGTCACAAAATTTGGATAACTTTCTTCTTTTTAATAACATAACAAGTTTTCGTATCTATTGTTGTGCAATAGGTAATTTTCAACAGCTGACTGCCATGCATCACAGGGGCCTTTTCCAGGGAAGTTGGCTATGGGTTAGGCAGTCATTGCAAAGCTTGTCTGCTACAGCTGCCACGTTTATTCCGTTCATTCCACAGATGTTTACGGAATATCTGCTTGGGTGCTGGAGACGTTTAAATTTGTAAGACCTAGGGGGTAATACCCTGGAAAGGGAGACAAGCAAGTGAGTCCGCTGCCGGGCAGCGTTAGAAGGCCGAGGCAGGGGTCTGTTTTAGCTTCCAGCGCTGCACCGCACGGGGAAGGCATACCGCAGCCCAGCGGGGCTGTCGGAGCAGGGCTCTCGGAGAGCGTGACGTCTCAACTGAAGTTTGAAAACGGAGGCGTTCCCTGCACAAAAGATGGTTGTTGTTTGTTTGGAGGATAGCAGCCTTTCAGGCAGAGGAAATCAGGGACTAGAGCAGCTTGTGTTGGCCCGAAGAAAGGGTTTACTGGGCAGCGGATGAAGATGAGAGTGGAGAGTGGGTGAGATCCAGGAGCGTGTTATGTGCTGAAAGACACGGGAAGTCAGAAAGTTTTGAAGAGGAAAGGTGTAATCAGACTGCACATTTCCATGGGGATACAAATGGCTTTAGTAACGATCCGTCTGAAAGTCTGAACTTCTCCTCTGCCCTTCAAATCCTTACTTCTTTAGGCTAGGCAGGGTTCGACAGCCTCGGCCCTGTGCAGTTTTTGAGCTTTGTTGTGGGGGCCGCCCTGTGCACTGTGGCATCCCTCGGTATCTATCGGTAGCATCTCTGTTCCCGTCCATGACAAGCAGACCTGTCTGCAAACGTTGCCTGATGCCTCTTGGGGGACAGACCTGCCCCCGGGTGAGAACCATTGCGTTAAAGCTAAGGCCTGTTTATTGTTTTCTGTTGCCGTTTCTATTGCCTGAGTCTTCTTCCATGTTAGGGCTGATGTACTGACAACTCAGACCAACTGCCAGAATCTTAATCTTGTGCCTGTGCTCAAATTGTAAGGTGAACCTGACCTGGCCTCTGGCTCGGATGTGAATGGAAGTACAGAGTCGTTTGAGATGGTCATCGAGGAAGCAGCTTTAGATTCAGCTAAGCAGAACTCCGGTAAGGCTTTAAAAATTATTTGCAATCTTAGACTAATTTCTAAGGTTTAATGAACTCTTTTGTTAAGTCATTTGTCTGCTGTTATCCATAATGGACCCTTTAATAAAAATTTTCTAGTAAACACTTTTATGTATGTGGAGTAATAACATAAAAATATGACCTGAGAATAATGACAGGTTTCATTTTTCCTGTTAAAGTTTTGATTAATTCTTCTCAACTGGTAGGCACCTTGCAATTTGGGTAAAAGACCACTTTGAGCATCTGGTGAAAACAGTACCTTCTGCCCAGAAGCGTGTCCATACTCACAAAACACCTCTGTGTGCTTCAGAGAGCCCCTGACAGCCCCGCCCACCCGCGTTTGCTCCCCTGCTGGTCAGGCGCTGGTGGGGGTGGGGGGACTCGGTGAAAACCCACGGGCTTTGGTCCAGAAACCGGGGCCAGTCACGACATGTGAATGTCGGTGTGATTGATGGGTTCGTGTGTCTTTTGTAGTTGCCACAGCAGAAGCAGATTGGGTTCCTCTCGAGCTGTGCTTTGGAATTCCACTGTTCAGTTCTGAATTAAACCGGAAAGTGTGTAGAAAAATCGCTACCCATGGCCTTTGCAGGAAAGAGAGGTGAGGGTTTATAGTCATTGTCATATTTTCATCTGCAAGACTTTTAAGTCAGCAACAGTTGCAGTATCTTTCTTTTACTTTGCACATGAATGTAGTAACTGTCTGTGTATGTGTGTCGATTGAATAAAGGTTGCTAGTTTACGGGTTTTGCTATATTTCCAACATGACTTTGGTACCTTGGAAATTAGGCTCATGGAAACATTTTGGGCACATTTTGGTTCATTATAATTGTATTTACTCAGTTACCCATATTTGGTGAGGGTGTGGTGAGCCCGGAATGCTTATATGAGGGTGTGAACCTAGTTTTTAAAAATATGTAAATGTCTGTGGAGAACTTTGGGGGGGGTTTCTCTTACTCTTAACATAACCACTCAAGTTATGTTAATAGTGATTATGTCTTGTGGTAGAATTATGGCTGATTTTTGAAATTTTCTTCAATTATTACCTATTTACATATTTGAAAAGTGTTTTTAATTTCAAGCGTTGATGTTATGTTAAACCTCTCAGACTTCATAATTGCTATGTTTCAAAGTGCGTAGATTTTTAATTAAAAAGGTTTGAATTAACATTTATATTTGCTAACAGTTTAAGCTTTTTTAGCAGTAAATTTTAATTTTGATTATATATGATGTTTTATTTCAAAATGGTCTTTATGTACTGTTATGCCTTAATATTAAAAGAAGGAGAAATTTCATTGACGAGAACTGTTGAGATTGTTTCTTTAAAATTTTAATGTGGTTAATCATCTGTTGTGTGCATATATAAATGCATTTAAATTACTAAAATTAAACTCTTGTTGGATATTAGTCATTGTCATTATATTTGTTCTAAACTCCCTCCACCCTTTTTTTCAGCCTTCAGAACCTCTTACATTCCAGTAGAAAGCTCGCTCTGCATGTCCTTAACTTTGTTCACTCATTCCAGGTAACGACATCCCAAAGATCTAAATGGTGTTCGTATAGAGCTTTTTATGCAAAACACGTCCATGTTTGTTTTGAGTCTTCACAGCAGTGAGACATGAAATAAGCGTTGAGTCCATAAAGGAAGACCCTGAGATTCAGGGCGCTAACCGACCTGCACCTGGTTTCGTCGGCCGGGTCTGCAGGGCCTGAGCTCGGACTGCGCTCTGTGCCGGCGCTTCGCTCAGCACCAGCGTGCTCGGCGTCTGTTACAGGCCGGGCACCCTACGGGCGCGGGGTCAGGGGTCTGGACCCCCGTAAGAACTGCAGCGGGTCTGCATCGTCTGCAGTGGTGGAAGCCAGTGCTCTAGACCTTCCTCGCCCCGTGTCCTCCTCCCCCCAGCCCTCCCCTCCCCCCTCAAGGGAGTGGCCAGATGCCCTAGACCTGATCTGTAGATGAGCTTCTAGGATGGAGTATTTGTTCAGAATTTCTGACCCAACATTATGAAATCATAGTGTGGAGTTTTGTTTCAGTTATTCTTTTATTCTTTCAATAAATACTTGCATCTATGCTATGCCAGGCCCTTTACCAGGGGCTGGGGAAATAGTGATGTCTAAGACACTCACGGGGCTTGTAGTGTTGTATGAGACGCTAGTCAAGTAAACGCTGAAATAAGTGAGCGGTTCCAGATTCCAGGAAGTACTTGGAAGGAGCCAGACTCCTTCAAATCTGATGGCATCCAAAGGCGGACCTATTTTAAATAGGTAGAGGCGATACACAGTCTGAAACCTAAAGGATGGGAAAACGTGTTCTGGGCAGAGCCTAGCAGGTGCAAAGGTCCTGTGCCAGGAAAGCAGAAGGCTGGTGCGGCAGAGGCCTCGTGCGGGAGTGGGGCGGCGAGAGGGGGAGGGAAGGGCCTTCTGGAGTATATTAAAGAGTGGTAGTGTGTGCTGAGTGCAGAGAGAACTCTTAAAGAACTTTAAACTTTAGTGACATTGCTTCTGACTAACAGTTTTAAAAGATTAGTTATTATTCAGAGAGTAGATTAAAAATGAACAAGCATAGAAGTGAGGTCAGTTTGGAGACCACTGTACTCGTCCAAATGAGAGACATCGGTAAACTGAGCACCCTTTTTCATTAAAACAAGACAGTGTTGCACATGTCCATAATGAAGTTTGTCGATTACACAAGTGTACTGTTATATCAATAAGTTGTGTGTATAATAGAACACACACAAAAATAGAAATGTTCAGAGGGTGTGATAAATGGATAGAAGCTTCCTAAAATTTTTGTAGCACCATACCCGCCTTGGAGGCAGGACCCCACTTTGGGGACCGCTGGCCTGGACTGCAGTGGTGGCTGTGGCGAGTGAGGAAGGTCAACTGATTTGGGACCCATCCGTGTTGGAGGTAGATTGTCAGGCCCTGGTGGTTAGTTAAAGGTGAGGAACAGGCGGAGGACGTGGCAACAAGGAGAAACATGAGGGAGTCCCACGTTTCTGACTAGCTTGATGCGGCGAGTGAGGGAGGGTGGGGAGGAGCAGATGGAAGGTTTGGGAGTTCTGTTGGGGACATGGAAGGTATGGCATGTGCGTGCCACGTCCCCAGGCAAACGCCAGGTGCGTGTTTGAGCCTGCAGTTGTGGGGAGAGGGCTGTGCTGAACACGAGAGTTCGAGAGCCCGGGAGCGGACAGCTTGTTTCGGTGCCTAATGCCGTGTGAGGGCTTCTAGAGACTGTCTGAGAACTAACCTTTTAAATCCCACAGTCTCATAGCCTGTTATTTCTATCTGTATCAAAGCGCGTATCGCAGTTGAACTTGTACTAGTCGTTTTTGCATATGTCAATACCTGCCATCAGCTGTTTTGGTTTTGCAAGGTAGGTCTCTGCAGTCTCCGTCAGGGCTTTGCATTCCTTAAACATTTCTTGGGTAACCGGGGTCCGGTTTCTCATTGGCTGTGCTGAGTGGTTTGGCCAGGCGCTGAGCAGACTCTCTCTCGTTTCTTGATCTTCTAGGAGGGTGCTTCGACGCCGGACGTTCACGCAGAGGCCAGCTTCCCGAGTTTGCTCTCCCAGCCCTCCTGCGCTGACCTGGGAGTCCCGCTTCCCGCCAAGAACTTGATATTCAAGGACGGCACCTTGTCCGAGTGGAGTGGACGCTCACCTTCCGCACTTCACGCTGCTGATCTCCACGTGCAGTGATTTGGTCCCACCATTCGTTGCCGCTCACACTTCCTGCCTTTTTTCTTTCTCAGCGTTAGCTCCGTAGTGCCAGCCGCTGAAAAGCATCTCGCTGCCGCCGTGCGATCCGTGCTCGCGTGGTGTCCAGGTTCCGGAACACGCCCGTGTTTCCTGAAGGCTTCCTCGTCATGCACCTCCTCATGCGACGAAAAGCTTTTTAGCAGCCTGCACTGTATTTTTTACCTTGAGACAATCGACATTTCTTTTATAAAACTGAAGATATACTTTATAGGCTTTATGATGACTGTTATGTTTATAAGCAGTCACTATGAATATTGCAACGGTAATTTTGTATGTTAGTTTATCGAACATAATCTTGTTTAATTTTATATTTTGTTACCTACTCTTTAGGGGATCATGGGGAGAGGTGGAACTCTTCCTTTTCAAAGGCTTCTTGGCACTTAAAGTAGCAAAACCATAAGGCGGTGAACAGCCAACATCGAGAGGGGACGTGATGGGGCATTGCGGTTCCCGTGGCTGTCTGGAAGCGGTGCGTGCGGCGGACTTGGGCGGAGGTGTGTGCGTCCGCACAGTCGTGCACAGCTTCACCTGGACCTACACGGGCTTAGCTCCGCCTCTGCGTTGGCATCTCATGAGAAGCTTGGGAAGACATTCTATTTTTAAACAATGTTTCTATGTGGACTTCTGTCATCACTCTCTTCGGGCTTTATATTTTGATAGAGTCTCTCTGGATAAATAGAATTTATTTTCCATTCTTGTAGCTGTGGCTGCTGCATATTTTCACTGTGATTTATTTTTTGTTTCGTTAATTTTACCAATGAATTGGTATGAAATTGAATTTGATAGTCTCTAACCAAGGTTTGCGATTTTAGATTAGAATTATATAATAGAATCATTAAGGCTATGTCTTCTGATCACAATACTTTAGTGAAAAGCCTACTTTGAAGACATATTCTTAGGCAATTTGGATCTTAAATTTATGTGAATAGTTTGGGAGGAAATGATAAAAAATGAGTAATTTCAAAATGTTTTTGGAGTTACTGATTCTTTTAGTGTCTCAAATGTCAATTAGAGTAACTGGAATCACTTTTTAGATTTTTCAAGTTACCTTGGGAAGTGTGTGCAGTGTTACAGATTAGTTTAGCTGTTCTCATAGGGTAACGATAATGGTTTGCTAGCTTAAAGCTGTAACCAAACTAATTGGTCAAACAACTTACATCTAAAACACTTAAAGCATTAGAAAATTTGGGAATGTTAAACCTAAACATTTTTTTGCTGATAGTTTTTGTTATTTATAGAGCTGATATCTGTGGATTTTAACATACTTCTGGAAATACATGCCTTTTAGAAACTGTTCACGTAGCTGCGTGCTCAGTGGCATGGCCCGCCTGTGGAGCTGGGCGGTCTGGCGCAGGCTGACCGGGGCGCGGGCCGTGCTGTGTTTAAGGGAAACGCAGTCAGCGTTTCATTTTCTACTTTCTCTTCTATGTGGTAGAGACCAGTGTATGTTATAAATGTTTGTCTATAAGAGGAAATATACATACTGATATTAAAATAATTTCTATGACTGTGAATCACTCATTTATTTTTTCCAATAATTGACATTGTACATTCCTAGTGCTGTTAGGTATGTATGTGACTTTTACAGATTTTCAGTTGGAAGCTGTATTTCATTTGATCAGGGCTCTTTAATCTCATTTTCATTTGCTTTGTTTGGATTAACTGGTCATTTTATTTATTCCTGTATTACCGATCTCAGCTTCCTGTAGTGACATATACACTAATGATGAATCAGACATTTGTGGTCGTTGGCAGGGAACCCGGTTGCTGGTGAATTTAAAACTTACATGTGATGTGATTTGCTGCTGCATTGCCCTTGAGAGATGATGGAGGAAGGAGGAGAACCTAGTCATGATCATGGATTTTAGGGAAAGGACCGACAGAGCATGCGGCCAGCTCTGGTTTCTCCCGCAGGTGAGGAAAGCGACTGAGTCCCGGCCAAGGACCCCTCACCATTAAGGGGGTCGTCTGCATTTGGAGGGCTCTCAGCAAGATGCGAAGGCCGCTTCGTGCTTTGTCTGTGAATTTGGCTTTGTTTCTTTCACGTGTCACCTCATGTAAGGATGCATCTCTTAAATCTTACGTAGGTGTTGATCCGTTTCAACAAAAAAGTAAATTTAAAACATAGCCTTTATTATTTGCCAAAGATGATTCGTGAAATAATTTTCATCTAATTTTTCTGCAGATGCTAAATTTCATTAGCTTTGGCTACCTCCCATTTCTTTCCCCCCTTCATGTAGCTTCAATCGTAGCAGACATTCCTTAGAAACCAAGAGGAAAAAGATACCAAAAAGGACATAGATTAGAATTTAGTGGGATACACTTTCACTCTCACGTGGGCCTGCAGAACTGCAACTCTGTGTCATTAAACACAATTATCATCTGATTTCCTTGATTTCTTTCTCTTCAAACATGTAATCAGATGGTTTTGTATTAAGTATTCGTTTCTTTTATTGGATGTTTCAGTTTTCTCTGCCATTCATCTTTCCCTTTTATGTTCAGTGTTTCAAATACATTTGTATTTAAAGACTAAAGTACCAAAACTGTAACTAAGTACAGTGGACCGTTTTCTGGTATGATGTTAATATTATACAATGAAATGTATAAAGTGTTGTCAATTTGATTATTGACTCATAATATGTTTACAAATAAACTGTGGTGTTGATCAAGTTATTGAGGAAATGTGTATCATCTTCTGTGAGTTCCTTCCTTAACTTTCAGTACACCGTGCCGTACAGTCGAGAGGTGTTCCTTCCCTGTGCCTTGCCTGAGCCGCCCCGCGTGTTAGCACCTTTCGTGAGCACTGGCACGTCTGTCCACACTCAGAAATTAACACCGATGCAGCATTGTTGACTAAACTACAGGCTTGATTTGGTTTTCACCCATTTGTCCACTAATGCTCTTCTCCTGTTCCAGGACCCAGTCCAGGATACCACGCTGTGTTCATTTAATCACTGACGCCTCTTTAACCTCCTCCAGTCTGTGACAGTTTCTCAGTCTTCCATGACCTTGGCACTCTGAAGGGTACGGCTTGGTTATCTATCTGTAGGGTGTCCCTCCGTGTGGGCTTGTCTGAATTTTTCCCGTGATTAGATCTGAGGTGATGCTCTGCAAGGAAGAATAGCCCCGAGGTGTGGTGTGTGTGAGTGCCCTTCCCTACGGTAGCACGTCGTGGGGTGCATCCCGGGTATGGGATGTCAACGGTGTTGCAGGGGGTGGTCCTCCTTTGATTTAAGGTGGTGTCTGCCAGCTTTTTTCCACAGTAAAGTGACTATTCTTCCACTTTCCATACTTGTTCTTTGGAAGTGAACCTCTGACTCTAGCCCACTCTCAAGGGGAGGGGGCAATATTATATATAATTGAGACTTTTTCTTGAAAGTTTCTTTCTTTCTCCTGTTTATTTGAGCATTTATTTATATTAGTATGCGATCCTGGCTATTTATTTTATACTTTAGGTTAAAATCCAAATCTGTTATTATTTTGTTGCGCAAATAGTTTCAGCTTTGGTTATTGCAAACACTTTCCGATCCATTCCTAATTTCTTTCGGCATACCCTCATCTGTTGTGTTTAAGGCCATATTATTATTTTGTAGCACTACAAGTATTATCTGGCCATCCGCCCAGGAACAAGCTATTTCTTCTAGAAACCCTGGTCCTTTTTATTGGGGAATGGTATTTAGAAACCAGAATCTGGGCACTGGTTGTGCTTGTTGCTCCTGCTTTCACTCCTCTCCCGTGAAACAAACTAAGAGATGTAAACGTGTACTAACCAATGCGTAGGCACCTCTCTATATTATTTCTAGATCTGTCTATCCATCTAAAGGTAAACTGACTCTCATCCAGCACCACAAGGTTCATTCTAGTTTGCCTCTTTGCTTATTTGTAACTTCGTTCTTTCTCTGCTAGTGAGAAACCCAGCTCCTTTTAGCTGCAACTTACTTGCTTATTTGTTCAGCCCCAGAACACTTACAGAGTGGTTTCAGAGTAGTTAAGTGCCCCTGTGATAAACAAACTGACTGACTCGAGTATAGCGTTAAAGTACATTTTTGTATCTTTAGCCCTATACTATCTCCTCAAAACACCATTTTCCAAGTAACTCCATTCAGCTTCTTTTACCCCCACTCCCTTCGTTGAGGATATGTGACACATTCTGCAGAATATGCATTTGTCACACTCTGCCTTCCGTCTGTGATCTCTCGACATCCGGCTGCTTTTTTCAGACAGCAGCATTCACTCCGTTCCGGCTCCAACAAAGGTGCTGGCTGTCTCGGTGCTCACAGAACAGTTCCATCCCCCTAAACAGTCCCCTTGGTGCTCAGCTCCCCACCCCGGCAGCTACATTTTCCATTCCTAGTTCTTCTCTTTTTTCCAGAATGCCATATAAGGGGTGGAAGTGTACAATTTTAGTCTTTTGAGTCTGTCCTCTCTTGCATACCAAAATACATTTTAAATTCATCCACATCGTGTGAATCAGCAGCTCATTCCTTTCCATTGCTGAGTACTTCATTGTATGGCTATATTAAGGCTTGGTTATCATTTCACATTCATGTATAGGTTTTTAATGTAAACATAATTTGTTTTGCTTAGGTAATTACCTAGGGGTGGATGGGGTTGCTGAGTCTTTTGGTAATGGGATATTTTACAAGGAGCCACCAAACTGTCTTCCAGAATGACTGTGCCATTTCACGCTCCTGTGGCAGTGGTATCGTGTGGTTGGAATGTTCATTTCTGCCATGACAATGATTCTGACCCTCTTCCTATGTGCTGATTTGCCATCCAGATACCTTCTTGCGTGAAGTGTGTGTTCAGATGTGTTGCCTATATGGAAAAAAAATGAATTTTATTGTTGAGTTTTAAGAGTTCAGTATAGGTTCTGCCCTGAATGACATGGTTCACTTGGTTGGGACATCACCCGGTAAACCAAAACATCGCGGGTTCGATTCCCACTCAGGGCACATGCCTAGATTGTGGATTTGGTCCCCTGGTTGGGGAGTATACCAGAGGTACCTGTTCAGGGCGTGTATGAGAGGCAGCCGATGGATGTTTCTCCCTCTCTTCCTTCCCCTCTCTCAAAAAAAAAAAAAAAAGCATGTCCTCAGGTAAGTATTAAAAAAAGTTCAGTATAGGTTCTGAATATAAGACCTTTATCATAGATGTGTTTTGCAGACTTTTCTCCCAGTCTGGCACTCCACAGTATCTTCTATAGAACAAAAGGCTTTAATTTTAACGCAGTTTAGTTTGTTTTCTTCTTGAACGAACCGTGCTTCTGATTCTGTGCTATAGCAGCGCATCCCCGAACCCAGGGCCCTGCAGATTCTCCCTGTTCTCATCTGGAAGTGCTGCAGGTTTGTGTGTAGGTCTTCCATCCGTTTTGAGCTCATTTTAATGTATGTTGTATGTGTCAAGGTTGGTTTTGGCACGTGGCCAAACAAGTTGGTAACGCACCTTTCTGGAAAAGGCCGTCCTTTCTCCATCAGATTGCCAGTACACTTTTCCCGGAAATCTCCTGATGGCAGAGTGGATGGGGGGTTGCCTCAACGGAAATGGAATGACTCCAGTGGCCGTAAAGCATTTTTTGGGGTACTGGAAATGTTCCACAATTGGACTGTGGTGATGACTGTACAACTCTTAAGTTTATAAAAAAAATTATTGCATTGTATACTTAAATGAATTTTATCTTGTGTAAATTATACTTCAATAAAGCTGTTTTAAAAACTCAGTTGGCAGTATTTGTATGGGTCTGTTTCTGGGCTCTCTGTTCTGTTCCACTGATTAATGTGTCCTAATACCCCACTGAATTTAGAGAGTGTGAGTCTTCTGCGAGTCTTCCAACTCTTTTTTTTCTAGAGCTTATTTTGCTTCTTTTAGTTCTTTGCCCTTCCATATTTTAAAACTAGCTTGTCAATATCTACACACAAGCTTGCAGGGAATTGAATCAAAATTATGTTGAACCTATAGATCAAATAGAGGAGAACTGATACTCGAATAAACATCTCTATTATTTATAACCTCCTCGCTGTAATGCAGGAGCTTTCTCTGGGTCTGGACAATTTTCGGTGTCTGTAATAACGGTACAGGCGTGGTACATGGCTGTCCCTGGCTCAGGGGGGGCCTCCAGAGAAGGAGCCTCAAGTTTCCTGCCCAGGCCTGGGAGGCATGGCTAGCAGATTCTGGGAGCCAGGACCGGAGGTGGGGTCAAACTTTCACCTGACCTTTCTCTTATATCCTGTGCCTCATGGCACCTCAGCCTCTTGGAGTCAGTTTCCCTTTTAGTACCCTAGCTGAGTGAGGGGAGGTGGGATTGGGGGATTCAATGCTCTTTTCTTTTTTGATATAATCATTTTAGTGTTTTTTTTTTTCTTTCACCCATCTTCCCAAACTCATCCCCTTTGGCAACCATCAGCTTACTCTTATCTGTGAGTCTGTTTCCGTTTTCGGTAATTGATGTGTTTTTCAGATTCGACGTATAAGTGAAATCATAGGGTATTTTGTCTTTTTTATGATTGATTTTATTTAGCATACTACCCTCTAGGTCGATCCATGTTGTAAATGGCTGGATTTCATTCTTTTCATGGCTAAATCATAGCCCAGTGTGTGTGTCTTTCCCACCTTTTTCATCCACTCACCTACGGAGGGACACTTAGGTTGCTTTCATATCTCGGCGATTGTAAAACTTGCCGTGGATATAGGGGTGCACATGTCTTTTCAAATTAGTGTTTTTGTTCAGGTAAATATCGAGAAGTGGCATTGCTGGCTTTTATGGCTGTTTTAAATTTTTTTAATAACATCTTTTTTTAAAAGATTTTATTTATTTATTTTTAGAGAGAGGGGAAGGGAGGAAGCAAGAGAGAAACATCAATGTGTCGTCTCTCACGCGGCACCCACTGGGGACCTGGCCTGCAACCCAGGCATGTGCCCTGACTGGGAATCGAACCTGCGACCCTTTGGTTCGCAGCCTGTGCTCAATCCACTGAGCTACACCAGCCAGGGCCAGCTGTTTTTAATTTCTTGAGGCATCTCCATACTGTTTTCCATGGTGGCTGTACCAAGCTACAGTCCCGCCAACAGCACACGAGGGTTCCCTTTCTCCACGTCTCACCTCCATTTGTCGTTTGTTGATTTTTGGGGGTGGTGGCCAGTCTGACTGGTGTGAGGTGGTATCTCATGCTTTTAATTTGCATTTCCCTGATAATGAGTGACATTGAGCATCTTTTCGTATATCTTCACCCTCTAGATGTCCTCTTTGGGGAAGTGTCTATTGAGGTCCTCCACCCATTTTTAATCAGATTGTTCTGTTTTGGTGTTAAGTCATATGAGTTCCATGTACATTTTGGATATTAACCCCTTATTGGAACACCACTTGCAAATATCTTCCCCCATGCAGTAGGTTGTCTTTTTATTTTGTTGATGGTTTCCTTTGCTTTGCAAAATCTTCATTTGACATAGTCCTGCTTGCTCATCTTTGCCTTTTGCGTTGTTGTCTTCGCCCAAGGAGACATACCCAGAAAGAGAGTGCTAAGACCAATGTCAAAGTGTTTACTGCCCTTATTTTCTTCTAGAAGCCTCATGGTTTCAGGTCTGACACCCTTCAATCTCTTGAATCCATTTCGAGATTGCTGTTGTGTTTGTTTTGTGTACGTGGTGTAAGAAAGGGGTCCAGTTTCATTCTCAGTGCACTTCACGGTGATCTCTGTTTTCTCTCCTTTGTCTGCTCTGCGGAGCCGTCTGTGCCCCACCCTCTGCCGTCCACCCTCCGAGCTGCGGTTTGGTTACGAGCCTCTTAGGGTTAGCGGTGATCGATTGCTTCTCCTTCTCCGAGTGGCGTCAATGGGTGGTTGCCAAGAGAAGGGTAGAATCCGATCACTTAAAATACAAAATCCTCCCAGCCTCATTCATTCTTTTACCTTAGGTGTCAAAGAATGCCACCCTCAGAAGAAGCCTCCGTGGTGGTAGGGGTTAGGGCGTGAAGGTGCTGCAGGTTAAAAAGTTGGCGTTCGTGTGGGCTTATCTCTGTCCGTCTCTTCCTTCTACTTCACGAGAGTAGCCATTTCTCCTCTCTGTCTCTCTCTCTGTCTCTCTCTCTCTCTCTCTGTCTCTCTCTCTCTCTCAGACACACACACACACACACACACACACACACACACACACACACACGTTCTTGCTCAGACTTGGGCTGGGGCTGCCCCGGAGAGTGAGGCCCACCCCGTAGGGACTGACAGCTGGGGGCTGCCAAGATCACCACCCTCTCTGCAGCTAGAAAGCAAGTCCATTCTCGAAGCAGGATCTGAGGGCTGCATCTCTGTGCCTGCTATGTTCGCTGCACAAAGCCGGGGTTAAAAAGTCCCCGTCCAGGTCTCTGGAGTGTAGGGACTGGGACTCGGGCCAAGCCCTGATATTGACGCCCCTATCGATGCCGAGGCTCCGCTCTTCCTGTAGGTGGCAGTGTTTCACTTCTTAACCCTCCATGCTCTCTGGGCGGCCTCCGCCTGCGTGAGGACAGCACAGGGTTTCCTTTCCGAAGAATAAAACAAATCGGTGGTTACGGAACAGTCATGGGGGTGTCAAGTACAGCATGGGGAACGGAGTCAGTAATACTGTAAGCACTGCTGTGCATGGCGTCAGATGGGTACTGGACATATCAGGAGGGTCACTTCCTAAGTTATGTAAGCGTCTACTCACTGGGTTGTACACCTGAAACTAATATTGTACCTCAGCTGTAATTGAAAAATAAAAAACACTTTAAAAAAAGAACAGAATTCGTTTATAGTGTTTCCCCCTCCCCGCCCCACTTCACCCACCGCCTCCAGTCCTGCGAACTTTGGTCAAGTTCTCCTGGAAAACTGCTTTGGGAACATCAGGACCTACGACTACGGGATGATTATGAACTCGTTTCCAGAGAGAAGGGGAGAGGGCAGGGAGGAGGCGGAGGGTGGGGAGGGGGGTACGGAGCGTCCTGACATCCCGACGATGGTTTGGTTCCCTGTTCCCGTGCCCGAGGTCACTGGGCTTGCCCTCCCGGCTCCTGCGAGTCCTCTCCAGCTCTCTGAGATGCTCCGGCGCCCTTCCAACACAGCCCCGTTTTGGCCTCAACTTTTAAATTGGGCCAAAGCCTCTTATAACGAACTGAGAGGGCTCTTTAACACCCTGAGGTGTGAAAGGAAAAGAGAGAGTGGAGGTTTTCCCCGTCCCCGTCCCCGGCCCCACCCCTGCCACCAGCCCGGGTCAGCACCCTTTCCTCGGACCTGGGCATACTGCCGTTCGTGTCCTTAGCACATGGCTCTGGAGTGCACGGGAGCCGACACACGCTTGTCACAGTCCCCACTGTGGGGACATTGCTCGGATCACCAAATGCATTCCGCGCAGCAACCCCATGACTGTGGCGTCGTCACGCCATGAAGGAGAAACCGATGTCCAAGTGGGTCAGTGAGGTACCAAAGGTGGCAGCTGCTACGACGTCCCACCTGGCCTGTGGGACCGCCACAGCCAGGCTGCACCCATGGGCTCCCCCCCCACCCCTGCCGACGGGTGGGACCAGGGCTTCAGGCTGGGGCTGCAGACCACGGTGGGGCTCTGTGCCCCTCTCAGTTTGGCCGGGGCGGGGGTGGGGAGTAGCACTGGAAATACAACCGTCACGAAGTCCCCATCTGAAGAAGGCCGACAGAGGCACTGTGGTGACCAGTCCCTGAGAAGCTGGACGGTAGGTGAACGCATCATGGGACCCTTAGTCACACACGCCGTCCGCCTGTCTGCAAGTGTCGTCACCTGGAGAGGAGGGCTGTGCAAGTGCTCACGATTCCCTGCAGGAATGCGCATGTGGGTGATGCGTGTTCCTGAGGGTGTTTGTCTCATACGTTTTCAACAGTGTGGGTTAATTATGTTATTGCAGTTGAGGTGTTCTTCTCCCTGTCCATCCACCCCCTCCCCCAAGTAAGGAACTATGTTTTAAACAGATGTCACTTCGCTTGGGAACAAATGCACCAAATAAATATATTCCGAGTCCCCATTGTTTCTTTCGTAAGTGCGAGTGAAAATCCAAACTACTGCACATCTGCAAAGGGAAAAATGACCGAAGACGACCTTCTGTGTGTTGATGGATCTGGAGGGTCGTTTTGTAAAGACTTTCGTGCGCAGCACATCCCATTGGGGTCGGCTTGGGAAAACTGGCTGCCTCGCAGCCGGAGCTCGAGCAGCAGTCAGCTGTTTAAGGTGGCAGGTCGGAGACCCTCGCAGCCCATGTCTAAGACTGGATTAGCGAGTCGTTTGGGTGGGCTGGTTTGCACGTAGTCTGGAATGGAAGACCCAAATAATGTCTTCCTTGTTCTCGATTTCTTTTGTCTCCAAAATGATTAATCGACAAAGAGGAAGGCAAGAGTAAGCAGAGAGCGTGGGCTGAGGGTTTGGGGGGCCTGGGTTCAAACCGCGGCTCCACTGAAGTGGTAGACACGGGGGTTGCCCCCCGAGGTCCCGTGGCTGATGGTCCTCCCCGCCTCCGCACGGGGAGCCCCCGCCTCAGGACTTGCGCTGGCCCAGGCCATGTGGGCGGAAGTGATGCGTGTGGTTTCCGGGAAGAAATCTCAGAGCCAGTGCACAGTTTGCTGTCCCCTTCCCCCGTCACTGTCACAAATGAGGCTGCAATGCACAGGGCCCATCAGCCTGGTCCCTGGTGAGGGCGCTGTGGAGCAGAGGTTGTAACCACTGAGATCTGGGAAACGCTTGTCA